GCAGGCCTGGGGCACTGAGGAGGGCCGCCTGGAAGACAGGAGGGCGCATGAAGGGGTGCCAACCCATGGTCTGGGACCCCACTCTGTGTCCGGTGCCAACGGGGCAGCCCTGGGAGGAGGCCAGGCGGGGAACAGGAGGGAAGGCGAGAGACAGGTGGCTGGGTGGGGCAGGCAGAGGCAGGAGGCCTTGGGAGTCTGGCCATGGGAGGGTGCAGGGGGCGGGGGAGCTCACGATCTGAGGGTCTGTGGCGACACCGCTGCTGTAGGTGGTGGTGAGTGTGGAGGCGCAGGCCTCACTGTACCAGGGCACATGGCCTTGCTGGGTGGTGCTGCCCACCGAGAGCGTGTGGATGCTGTTGGTGTAGCCATCGCAGTTACAGTTGTCGTAGTGCAGGCCTCCATTGCCTGAAGCCCAGATGAAGAGGGTGCCCAGCCCGCCTCGGCCCTGCAGGAAGGGACCAGCACAGAGGCGGGAGTTGGGGTGGGGCGGGAGCCTTGTGTGTAGGCCCCGGACCCACCATGCCTTGTACCCACTCACCTTGGTCACGCCACGCCTGAAGGCTTCTCGGGTGAGGATGCCTGGGCCGTCCACCGTGCGGCCGTCGTCCTCGGGGCCCCAGCTGGCGCTGTAGATGTGGATGTGCTGTGGCTGCAGGCTCAGCGACTGGGCCTCGATCACGTCAGTGATGGTGCCATCCAGCATGCGCACACCTGCATGGGCGGCAGCTGCGGCCTTGCTGGACACCCTGCCTGTGCCCCATGTTCTCCCCGCCTGGGGGTGAAGGCGTCGATGACGGGGGCTGCTCAGTTCTCCTCCACCCTGGGCCTGGCACCTTGGCACCACTGCTCAGCAGCAAGGGCATGAGGCCAGGAGGCTCCCCACCCCCCAGTCTGAGTACCTCCGATGCGGGTGTTGTAGGCGACACCTGCACCACAGAACCTGTTGTTTGCCATGGCCGCCACTTCCCCAGCACAGCGGGTCCCATGCCTGGCACCAGGGCAGAGACAGGAGCCCATCACATCCCCCTGGCTCCTTGTAGGGAAACAGGGTCTGCCCCCATACCCCTGGGAATGCCAGGCTTACCGGTTCTCATCGCTGGGTGTGTATCGAGGTTGGGGGTCTGGGTCATAGTCATTGAAGTCATAGCTGGCCAGGGGATCCTGGGGGAGGGGGGTGGAGACATGAGGGGGCTCCCACCAGCCGGAAGACATGAGGCAGCCCCCACCCCAGCCCTGCAGGCTCACGTAGTTGGCCCAGAGGTCTGGGTGATCTTTCTCGATGCCGTCATCCAGGACAGAGACCACGACGCCCTGGCCCGACAGCCCCTGGCTCCAGACCTGCAGGATGTTCAGGTCTGACTGCATCTCATTGTTCTGTGCAAGGCGGGGCCAGGGTCAGGAGGGCTCTGACATGGCCAGGCCCCGCTGCCCGGCCCGGCCAGCTCACCATGTACCACTGCTTGGAGAACCAGGGGTCCGTGGGCACCACCAGGGAGCGTTTCACCCGCTTCTGCACTGTCTGCTGTTGGAACCACTGCACCTGGTGGTGGGTGGGGGGCAGAGGAGACCACACTGTGGGAGGGGCTGGACCTACGAGCAGCCAGCCCTACTCCCAGCTTCCTGTCCTCACACCAGAATGCTTTAGAGGGCTCTGCCTCTTAGCTCTTCTGCAGATTCCTGGCTAAGAGGCCAAAATCTGCTTCCAGGGTTTGGGCAGGCCTCTTCCTGGGTCTGCTGGGGTGGGGGGCAGAGGTGTGGGGGGTTTGAGGGTTAGGAGGTTGTGTGTCTGGGCTGTCACCTACTTGTCCCATGGGGACCCATGTGATATAGGATGGAGCCAGGGACCCTGTGTTTGCTGGGACTGCTCTAGGAGGTTCCCGTGTGCCTGAGGCTCTGCCTTGGGAGGACGCTGAAATCCTCAGAGCACCCATCCCCAAGGGACCCCCACACATGTGGTAGCTGCTGCCCAGGGCCACTGTGGCTCACTCTGCCTCTGTCCACATTCTAGAATCCCTCTCCCCTTGCAGCATCCACTTCTTTCAACCACACTCTTCCGGGTGCAGGACACACCTGTATGGCCATACCCACCTCCTGCTTGGTCCTCTAGCTGCTCTGTCCCCGCCACCTCTCTGCAACTCACTCTAGGCATGCTGCAGCATCACTGTCTATGAACCTTCCTGCCCCACTCTCTCTGAAGCCTGAGAGGCCCCCTGTCTGTCTGGCCCCCACCAGCCTTCCTCTGCTGCAACCACAGTGGCTGCTGCACCCAGGGCCTTTGCACATGCCCTTTTGCCTGCCTCGGGCCACTCTTCCTCAGGCCTTTACTCCTACCCCCTTTTCCTTGTTCTACTCCCACCCCCTGCCCAAACTGGCTCATGTTCCCCCTCCCACCCCTATCTCAGCAATCAGGTCCATCTTCTGCCCATTTGCTCAGCTCCAGACATGGAAGCTGCCCCTGAATTTTTCTCTGCCCCCCTACACCCAACCAATCTGCCAGATCTGGCCTCTATCAAGACCACATCTCCAACCAGCCTCTTCTCTTGGTACCAGTGCTCCTGGCGGGTTTCAGATTGACTCTTGGGAGTCAGCCCCCCAGGCCATCCTTTTTATACCTGGGGACCTTGATCTTTCTGGGTGGGATACAGGAGAGAGGGGGATGACAAGAAATGCTGACAGGGCACCAGGCCGTGGGGTGAGTGCTGCACTCACACATGATCTGTTGCTTTCCACAGATCTTCCCTATCTGGCTCCCGACTGTAGACTAGGGAGCCAAATCCATACCAAGACTCAGAGAGAGCTGGTGACTTGCCCAAGGTCACACAGCCACTCATTACAAATACAAGAATAATAGGAGGTGGCGGAAACCTTTGAGGGAAGGCCAGGCTCACCTTAGGGTCTTTCTTTAGGCGCAGGCGGTGGCCCCAGTGCGGGGTCAGGGACTGCTGGACCACGCCCCGGTGCCGCAGATGGAAATACTGCCCGTCAGGGAAAATCTGGGAATGAAGGGGAGCATGGCTGAGACCTGGTTCCCCTGATGGAGCTCTTCTGAGGCTGGGGCCAGTCCCTTTCTTACATCTTCCCCCAACCAGGTGGCCTCTCGGGGTCCAAGAATCTGAAGTTAGACAAAGTAGGGGTGAGCTGGGGGTCCTTGATATATGGGGAACGAGGGGGCCCCTCCCTTCTGCAGAGATCTGGGTCGTCCCCTTCTTACATCTTCCCGCCTCCTCCCGTCAATCTGGGTCCCGCCCACCTGCCCAAAGTTGACGAAGCCGAATTTACGCGCCAGGCGATCGACCTCCTGGTAACCCTGGGACACCCGCACGGCCCAGCTGCTGACATAGATGGGGGCCCGGGCCGAGGCCCACCCCACAGCCATGGGGCCAACGAGCGCCAGACCCAGGGCCAAGGTCAGGTGCAGACAGAGCGCAGTACGGGCGGGCCGCATGGCGGCGGGGGCGGGGCCGGGGCGGGGCCTCAAAAAGCCCCTCCTCCTGGCCAAACGGCCGAGCCGGCCCAAGCTCCCGCCCCGCCCCCGGCGCCATAGCAACCCCTGAAAAGCTTCAACTCCCAAGGAGCCTTGCGGCTCCCCCAATGGAAGGGCGCAAAGCTCTAATAGAAGTGTGGGGGAGACACATGCCCAGACCGGTCTTCTGTAGACTCAAACCCTCTGGAGCTTCAGTCTCCCCGTTAGTACAATGACCCGCAATTCTTTTGACCTAGAGGAGAGAGTTCATTGTTGCTATAATTGACTCCGCCCCATATTGGCCCCTCCGGCTTCATATACACCCCTACCCCTAAAATAAACCTTACCTCCTTCCTAATCCAACCAGAATAGCTCTTTTGAATAAACCCCGCCTCCTACATTTAGCCCCTTGTTCTTGGGCTCCAAAATCACTGCAGGTGGTGACTGCAGCCGTGAAATTAAAAGACCCTTCCTCCTTGGAAGAAAAGCTATGACCAACCTAGACAGCATATTAAAAAGCAGAGACATTACTTTGCTGACAAAGGTCCATCTAGTCAAAGCTATGGTTTTTTCCAGTAGTCATGTGTGGATGTGAGAGTTGGACTATAAAGAAAGCTGAGCGCCAAAGAATTATGCTTTTGAACTGTAGTATTGGAGAAGACTCCTGAGAGTCCCTTGGACTTCAAGGAGATCAAACCAGTCAATCCTAAAGGAAATCAGACCTAAGCATTCTTTGAAAGGACTGATGCTGAAGCTGAAACTCCAATACTTTGGCAACCTGATGCAAAGAACTGACTCGCTGGAAAAGACCCTGATGCTGGAAAAGACTGAAGGCAGGAGAAGGGGATGACAGAGGATGAGATGGCTGGATGGCATCACCGACTCGATGGACATGAGTTTGAGTAAGCTCCGGGATTTAGTGATGGACAGGGAGGCCTGGCGTGATGAAGTCCATGGGGTCGCAAAGTCGGACACGACTGAGCGGCTGAACTGAACTGAATCGCTTTTCCGATTCCGTCCCTCCTCCTTTATGTTCAGCCCCACTTCCTCTCTGTTTTCCCTAATAAACATCTTCTTGTTTCTCCAATCAGCTCTGAACTTTCTCCAGCCCCGCCCACCAGCCCCGCCTCCCCAGCACTCTTCTCTACGCCCCCGGCTCCACCCACAACCGCTCAGACAATAATCCCCCGGCCATGACCCCGCCCCTCCAATCAGTTACGTCCCCTTCCCGCTCAGCCAATTGGTGCCCTCAGTCACCGCGCCCCGCCCCCTTCCTCCAAAGTCGCGGCTGCGGCTGCCTCGGCCCTCCAGAGGGCAATGCGGCGGAGGAGACGGGGCAGGCCCCACCTCCTTTGTCCGCCCTGCCCTCCCATTGGCCAGAGCGGAGGCCAGGAGGCGGAAACCAGCCCGGGGGCGGAGACCCGCCCGGGAGTTGAGCGGTGCGGCTCAAGCCGAAGGAAGGCGGTGTGCAAGCAGTCTAGCCGGTGCGCGGCGAGGCGGTCAAGTTCAAGCTGCCAGTCCCGGGCGCCCAAGTGCCATGGACGGCCTGCGCCAGCGCTTCGAGCGCTTCCTGGAACAGAGGAACTTGGCCACAGAAGCGCTAGGGGCGCTAGAAGCCAAGACAGGTGTCGACAAGCGGTACTTGGCCACGGGTGAGCCGTCGTGGGCAGCGCTTGGGGCTGCCGCCCCATTTCGCCGACAGGCATAGTGAGGCCCTGGCCTCTCGGGGCCTCGGACCTCTCCCTTTCGGCCGCCCCGGCTGCGGGTTCCAACTCAGGCGGCGGGGCTCTCCCACAGTCCAGCGAGGAGACCGAGATCCTGGGGAGGGGTCGAGGACCAGGACCTTGGTTCTGGCCGCAGTCTCTTCTCGCCCCCGCCGTGAGACCTCAGTCGAGGACCAACCCCCTCTCGGCCCTGCAGCCGTCCTTTGCCCCCTCCTCCTTCCTGGCTCTGGGTGCCCTCCAGGCAGAAGTCCGGTTTTTCCGGTTGTTCTTCTGGTCCTGGGGGAGGAGAGGGCAGGTAGATAGCAATGTCCTGCCAGTCTCGCCACCCTCTTCCCAGATGGACTCCAGCCTGGAAGCAAGTGTAGAGAGCTTCCCGTTTTCCCAGGGGATGCTCCAGACCAGGAAGGGAAGGGTCACTCCCACCCCTCCTCCCGAGGTTTTCCTGCTAGAATCACCCCACCCCAAGCTCAACCCCTTGGTCTGCCCTCTCACTCTGCCCCCCTGAGCTGGATTGTTTGACTGCTGCGGTGGGCTTGCAGAAACGTTGGCTGGCGCCCGTGGATAGGGAGTCCAGTCACCGCTAATTGTCACTTCCATTCCAGTCCCTCCTCTGCCTTTCCTCCTCAGTGACCTTGGGTCACTTGCCATTCTCTGAAACTGTCCAGTAAGTGCCATTTAAGTGCCTCCCCTCTTTTTTGGTGCTTCAGACCCAACCCCCTTCTGCCACCTCTTCTGAGAAGCCCGCCTAGAATGAGTCTCAGGACAGTTAGTTTGGACACTGGGGGGCGGCTCTGGGTGAGGACATGCCATGTTTTTTAAGCACCTGTGTACAGATCCCGAGAGTCGAGAGTCCGCTTTCCTCCCATTTCCCACCAGCTGGGGGATTGTCATGCCAGGCAGCCCAAGGAAGGATCCAAACCTGTCCCTCCAGGTTGCTGGTGCCCAACCCGGGTCAGCCAGAGACCTCCCCTGGGAGCAAGCCCTTTATCCCCTGCCTGGCTTTCCATATCCCTGTCACCAGTGGGTGGGGAATTTAGGTCATAGAGCTCTGGGGAGGGGTCCGTTGAGAGAGTCCTGCTGAGGAGACTGGGGGGTCACAGGGCAGAAAAACGGCCCAGAGCAGCAGGGGCTGCATGGGAGGCTGCCCCTGCAATCTGCCCTGTCTAGAGCACCCCACCCCACCCCATCTGCTGCTGATCTCGGGGACCACCCCCGCCCATGCCCCAGGTCATCCTCCCGTTGCTGAGGCTGCAGAAATCCGGATTGAGGGAAGGGAGGCCCTGCGAGAGCTACTGCTCCCCAAGTAGCAATCTCCAGGGAAGGGGTGCCACTCCCCCACCCCTGTTCCCAGATGTAGAAACCCTCAGGCCCCACTTGCCTGAGATCGTCTAAACCCTCCTCCCCTCCCAGCTACCAGAGGAGGAAACCCAGAGGAAGCAGTGAGCAGGCTGCCTAGAGCCAGCCATATATTCCCCCATTCCTCTCCTGATGCCAGACCCCAGGGATAAAGGCTAACACAGGTTGGGGGGGAGGGGGAAGGGAACTCTGCCCTCTGGTCCACTGGTGGCCTCTGTTTCTCTCTGCAGATAACAGCCTGGAGGTGGGGGAGGGGTTGTAAGTGCTCCCAGAAGTCAGAGGCTCCCCAAGTGACCTAGTGTGAGCCTGACCCCTGCTGTACCCTGCCCCCCCTCCCCCCACCCCCCCGCCAGCTTCTGTTTCACCTGGCTGTTGAATGAGATAGAACAGGGGGAGGATAGAGCCCTGCATACAAGAAGCGCTTAATAAATGTAACCGACCATTCTGATTTCAGAGTGGCTAACACTCGTGCCCCCCCCCACCACCACCACAATGTCCTCTGAACCCTCATTGCTGAGAGTGTGTTTGGGCTACCATAGGGGCTCACTGTGTAGGGAGGGCTCCCCTCTTTTGTCTTATTTAGTTACCCCCACACCAACCCTCAGAGACTGGGCCACTACTGCCCCACTGACAGATGAGGAAACTGAAGTTCCAAGCAAAGAGACACTCACTAGGGGTCTCATAGTGGGTGAGAGTTCTCTATCTGAGGGACTATCAATATGACCCTTTGCATCCTGCCACGAAGACAAAGGCTCTCATAGGAGGGTTCTGTTGCCCCCCAGGGACACTGGACAGTATCTGGGACGTCTGGTGGTCATGACTCTGGGTGCTCCTGCCATCAAGCAGGGGGTAGGGCAAGGATGCTGCTCCCTGCCCCACAAGATCCCCCAAGAGTCAGCAGTAGCAAGGGGAAGAGACCCTTGACTAAGATCAAAGTTACAAACTCTGTTGCCTTTCTCCGCTCTCCAGGAATCAAGTATTAACAACAGAATGGCCTCACTTTCAGGTTCTTCTCCCATTGTTTTTGTTTAGTTGCTTAGTTGTGTCTCGGTCTTTGTGACCCCATGGACTGTAGCCCACCATGCTCCTCTGTTCATGGGATTTCCCAGGCAAGAATAGTGGAGTGGGTTCCTATTGACCCAGGGATCAAACCCATGTATCTTACACATGCATTGTCAGGCGGGTTCTTTATCACCGGCGCCACCTGGGAAGCCTCTTCTCCCATTGAAAGTAGAGTGTTAGTCGCTTAGTCCTGTCTAACTCTTTGCAACCCCATGGACCGTAACCCACCAGGCTCCTCTATCCATATAATTCCTTGGTGATTCAGAGGGTAAAGAATCTGTCTTCTCCCATGACTTGTATTCAAATTCTAGCCCCTTCAGCTCAGTGACTCCTGTAGGACCTGGAGTGAGATGGTTATAATTGTAGAGATCCCATATTCATTCAATAAACACTGGGCAGGTACTTGGTACAGACCAATCCTGAGGTGCCCACCTGCCCTGGGCGATCTGGCAGTCCTGTGGGGGAGATGGACATATTAGGGCACTACAGACACAAGAGTCAGGGTTCAGAGCCATGATGGGGGTGCCCAGGTGCTACAGGGGCTGCCGAGGCTTCTGGGAGGCTTGATGGTGCAGGATGCGTGGGCCAGGCCCAGGGGATGCTGGGGTCCGGGCTCAGCAGGCGAAGCCCACGCCTACCACCTTCTGTCTGCAGGAGCCGCCACTCTGCTAAGCCTGTATCTTCTGTTCGGGTACGGGGCTCCTCTGCTGTGCAGTCTCATCGGCTTTGCATACCCCGCATATGCTTCGTGAGTGCCTGCTGGGGCAGGGCCGGGGGTGCCAGGGCACTTTCTGGGCAGCCTCTGACCCTGCCATGCCTCTCCCAGGATCAAAGCTATCGAGAGCCCAAACAAAGAGGACGACACTGTGTGGCTCACATACTGGGTGGTGTACGGCCTGTTCGGGCTAGCCGAATTCTTCAGCGATCTACTCCTGTCCTGGTTCCCTTTCTACTACGCGGGCAAGGTTGGCACCACCCGGGTAACACCACTCCATCCTGGGGGCGGGTACCCAAAGGGGTGTCTGATGGGGGAGGCCAGGCCCATCTCTAAGGGTGTCTGATGGGGGAGGCCAGGCCTATTCCTAGGGGTGTCTGATGGAGGAGGCCCAGTGTGACTCCTGACCTCTGCCTGTAGTGCGCCTTCCTGTTGTTCTGCATGGCTCCCGGCCCCTGGAACGGGGCTCATATGCTGTACCATCGCATCATACGTCCTCTGTTTCTAAAGCATCACGAGGCCGTGGACAGCATCGTGAGCGACATCAGCGGGCGGGCCCTGGACGTGGCAGCCGGAATGACGAAGGACGGTGCGTGCGTGCAGGGCGAGTGGTGTCCGTATGCCTGGTCTCTGTCTCCCGCCTTCCCCAGCCCCACTCACCTTCACTCCTGCCTCCTGTCCTGATTCTGTCTGGCATCCCTGCTGCCTCTGACGGGCACTCCTCCTCCCCGTCTCACTGTCCACCTCTCTCTCCCACGCTCTCGGGAACCAGTCCTGCAGGCCTTGGCCCGCAGCCGGGCTCTCATCACCCCGGCAGCCACAGCAGCGGGCCCCTCACTGCCCTCGGAGTCGACTGTACGTAAGCACCCACCCCTGGAAGGGGGCTCCTAGACGGGTGTGAGCGCACATGCGTGTGTGTGAATGCCTGCACCTGCTTCTATCCCAGCCAGGGCTGGCTGCCAGTCCCTCAAGTGGGCCCCATGCCGGTCCTCAGTGGCCTGCGCCCAGGTGTTACTGGCCGAGCCTGGCCCTCGGGCCCTCGGCACAGGCAGACTCGCCTCACTTACCCCTGGCGTGCTTTTTCCACAACAGGGAAAGTAAGCGTGACCCAGCTTCAGAAGGCCGAGTAAAACCCCCAGCCAGCCCGAACGCGGATGCACCGGACCGTGAGACAGAGGATGTGCCACAGCACAAGTCGTCTGCGGATTCCTCCGCCGACTCACCAGCAGAGCCCACCACCAGCCCCTCGTTCCCCACCAAGCCCGCCCTCAGGAGTTCTACCAGCCTGGGCCAGGCCCAGGCCCAGGCCGCAGCTGCCACCACGGCCACTGGCATGCAGCCGCCTGGCAAGCACCGGGGTGGGCTCCGATCTCAAGCCAACTCTTTCAGCCAGACCCAGGACCCCGGCCAGCAGCGTGCCCGACCCTCCACCACTTCCTCAGGCCCTTCCCAAGGGCCCTCAGGCTCCACACCTCGGCCCAGCACCACCTCCAGCCAGGGCCCTGCCCTTGGGCAGTCTCCCAGTGGCACCACCACCCCCACGCAGCCCCCCAACAAGACCCCCAACGGGCCAGATGCCTCCGCCCCCAAGTCCAGCAGACGGCACCAAAAATGGCCCACGACAAAGGCCACCAGCAGCACCTCGGTGCCAGAGCTCCCCGCTTCCGGCCAGCCTGAGTCCTCCCCAGAGTACAGCTCAGAGTCCACCACTGAGGTCACCTACAGCTGGCCTGACTACAGACACAGGCTCCGCTGCCTGCAGCACTGCTGGCGGATGAAGCACCTGGCCTGCTAGGGAGGGCTCAGTAAAGCTCTCTGGACCAGACTCATCTCCCCTGTCTGTCCTCTGGCTCTGGGGAGGGGCTTCCCAGGGGCGGGTGCTGGGCCAGCCCCACTTTACAGATGAGAAGACCAAGGCTCAGAATGGAGGTCTCACCAAGTGGCTGAGATGGACTCTGAGCCCATGTCCTTAAGCTTTCTCTCTCCCCTTCAGGAGCTCTCAGGCCTGTTCACCACAATCTCCTCCTTGTTTGGCCACACCAGGCAGCATGGGGGATCTTTGTTCCCTGACCAGGAATTGAACCCATGCTCCCTGCAGTGGAAGCCAAGGAAGTCCCCTTCTTTGAAAACTCTTCCAGAGGAGCCAGCTAAAAGCAACAGTCCCACCTCACAAGAATCTGAATTCAAGCTCTTTATTTGGGAGGGAACCCAGGAGGAGCCTATAGAAAGAGATCGAAGTGGGAAGAGAAGGAGGCCGAGAAGGCAGGGATGGCTAAACCCAGCACACCTGCTGGCACCTGGCACTCTGTCCCCTGTCGGAAGCATATCTGAGATTTTTCCTGCCCAGGAGCCAGGAGAGCTGGGCAGGATCCACCACCCTGCTGGTCACTGGGGAAGTAGTGGCCATTCACTCCAGCCAGCGCCCCCTGCAGGCACCTCTGAGGCAGGGCCAGGCTTGCAGTTGTTCAGTGGCTAATGAAGTGAAGTGAAAATGGCTCAGTCATGTCCACCTCTTTGTGACCCCCATGGACTGTCGCCTGCCAGGCTTCTCTGTCCATGGAATTCTCTAGGCCAGTATACTGAAGTGGGTAGCTGTTCCCTTCTCCAGGGGATCTTCCCAATCCAGGGATTGAACCCAGGTCTCCCACACTGCAGGCGGATTCTTTACCATCTGAGCCACCAGGGAAGCCCTGTTTACTGACTAAGTTGTGTCCAACTCTTTGTGACCCCATGGACTGCAGCATACCAGGCTTCCCTGTCCTTCACCATCTCCTGGAGTTTGCTCAAACTCATGTCCATTGAGTCAGTGATGCTGTCTAATCATCTCTTGCTCTGACGCCCCCTTCTCCTCCTGCCTTCAATCTTTCCCAGCATCAGGGTCTTTTCCAATGAGTCAGCTCTTTGCATCAGGTTGCCAAAATATTGGAGCTTCAGCATCAGTTCTTCCAATGAACATTCAGGGTTCATTTCCTTTAGAAATGACTGGTTGAATCTCCTTGCAGTCCAAGGGGCTCTCAAGAGTCTTCTCCAGCACCACAATTGTGAAAGCATCCATTTTTTGGTGCTCAACCTTCTTTATGGTCCAACTCTCACATCCGTACATGACTACTGGGAAAACCATAGCTTTGACTGTATAGACTTTTGCCGGCAACGTGATGTCTACTTTTTAATATACTGTCTAGGTTTATCATAGCTTTCCTTCCAAGGAGCAAGCATCTTTTAATATCATGGCTGCAGCCACTGTCCACAGTGATTTTGGAGCTCAAGAAAATAAAATTTGTCAGTGATTCCACTTTTTCCTCTTCTATTTGCCATGAAGTGATGGGACCAGATGCCACCAGGCAACCTTCAGCAGAGAGGCTGGGAGGCTGGCTGTGGATGTCTGCCTGGCCTCCTAGGAAATTGGGGGGCGGGAGCTGGGTAAGCAGGGACAGGACCCCCTACAACCTGCCTTTGGTTTCCTCTGTGAGGCCAGCGCCACCCTGATCATAAAAACAGGCAGAGACAGGTCAGGTAAGGAAGGTGATGTGCCTGTCGTGTGGATATAGGTGCAAACACATCTGAGCAAAAAGTAGCAAATCAATCCAACCAGAGAGCTAGGACACCCTCCTTCTCCCACTTGTTAAAGTTCACATCCCTGGAATCACAGCCTGAGTCGGAAGGTAGGGGGTGAGGGGAGCTGAGTGAGGCAGTGGTCTCAGGGGAGCCCCTGGAGCAGGTATTGCCTCCTCATGAAAACTGTCTGTGATGGACAAGCAACAACCAACTGGGGACAGACTGGGCCTATAAGGACGGAGAGGGATGTTGTGTCCTGGGATTGCAGGGGGCTTCCCTGGTGGTCTCTCACAAGGCGGCTGCAGCCACAGCTGGAAGGACCATAGTGTCCCTCACAGTCTGCCCCCCACCAGAGCTCTACACACCCCTGATTCTGGTCAGTCACACTTCTGGTGCAAGAGGAGGGTTAGGAAGAGAAAGCAGGGACCCCAGTAGGGCGGTGGCTCCACAGGCAGCTCAGTGGTTCCCAACAGGGGATGTTCCTGCCCCGGGGCCACTGGGCCACATCTGGAGATATTTGGCCATGTGGGATCTCAGTTCCCCGTCCAGGGATGAAACCTGCCCCCTTGGCAGTAGATTTGTCTTTGGATGACAGCAAGTATCTCCCTGGAGATGCCCTCGAGGTTACGGCCCCCTTCTTGGGAGTGGGCTGGAGTCAGTGACTGACAGCTGTGAGGGCACAAAACATGGGTCCCTGGGCTCCTGGTGGGGTTGATTCAAGGTGGGGTACCTGCTTCAGGGGCTCCCCTGAGACCACCACATCGCTCAGCTTCCCCCGCCCCCCACCTTCTGACTCAGGCTGTGCTTCCAAGGACCTGAACTTGAATGGCTGGGAGAGGGAGGGTGTTCTGGTTTTCTCTAACCAATACACCACCAAGGAAGTTCCCTGCAATCCCAGGACACATTATCCCTCTTCTCTCTTGTTGGCCCAGTCTGCCTCCAGCTGGTGGGAGCTTCTCCACCACAGTTTTCACAAAAAGGAGGCAGTTCTGCACAGCCCCCAACTGGGCAGCCCTGAGTCCTCATCCTTGAGAATTCCAGCAAGGCAGGAGGAGGCACGGCGTGAGAGTTACCGGTGAGCAGTGGGTCCAGTTCATTCAGTCAACCTCTCAGCAAATGTTGAACACCTACTGTATGCCTGGCCTTGCTCCAGGAGCCAAAGGTAGAGTAACGACCCAGAGAAACTAAAACTCCTGCTCCTGAGAATTTGGGGAGGTCACAGTTGACAGGATAAATGCATAACAGGTCAGAAAGAGTATCATGGGAGAATATGCAGCGAGGAGCTACAGGGCTGGGGGCAGGAGCTGGAAGCATTGGAAAAATGCCTCTCTGTGGCAGTGATTTTATGTGTGCGTGTGTGTGTGTGGCCATGCAATGTGTCATGTGGGAGCTTTGTTCCCTGACCAGGGATTGAACCTGTGCCCCCTGCAGTGGAAGCGCAGAGTTTTAGCCACTGGACCGTCAGAGAAGTACCTGGAAGTGACTTTTGAGTACAGACATGAAGAAAGTGAGGGCACAAGTTTTGTGAACATGGGGGCAGGAGTAGGTCAGGTATGGGGGATGTGCAAAGGCCCTGAGGCAGGACCATGCTTGGCAGGTTAGAGGGAGAGCAGAGAGACCCATGTGCCTGGAACCTCGAGAGCCAGGGCAAGACAGGAGGTGGGTCCAGGGGTTGGGCCATGCAGGTTGCTGGAAGGTGTGGTGAGGACTTTGGCTTTTACTAGAGGGTGTTGGATTTGTTGGGAGGAAGGGATGAAGGCTAATTATTAATGAACCCCCACCCTACTGAGAAGTCCACGTTGGCTCTAGGGATGCAGATCTTATTATCTGCTTATCACTGGCCCAGGTGTTTGAGTTGGTGGTGTGGCCTGGGTCTGGGGCAGGAGACGCGGCCTTGGCTCGCTCTGCACCTGGCCTTGCTCTGCCCCCCATGCCCCTTGAAGTTTGTCTCTGGGCCTTGCCTCCACCACCACCCCATCAGCTCATCTGGGAGTACAGGTGAGCGGATACACACCTGTCTCCCAGGTGGAAGCACTGACATTTATTTAGCTCTTCAGACTTGTTTTTAATTTAAATGTATGGAAAAGTGTAACCAGCAACTTTTGCCAGGGGCAAATAACACAACAGGACAGGCCCCACCCAGTCACTTCCCACCCAGGGAGCCCCCACCCTTCCTCGGTCCCCTCTGTCATTGATGGTCACTTGCATCATGTCCATGATATCTTCTATCCCCTCCTGTCTGACTCAGACTTGCCCTGCTGCCATGGGAGTGACCTGGGTGTCATTCTTTGTCATTGGAGAGCATGTCATTTTGTGGAAAGGCCAGAGAATGATCTGGTCCCCTGATGACAGGCATTAGAGTTGTTTCCAGTCAGGGCTATTGTGACGACAGCTGCTCGGAACATTCTAGAAGCAGCCTTTGGTGAGTGGCGCTATCAACTCTCTTATCTGTCAAGAGACTGCAGGGTGTGGGGTGGAGCTTCTGAGTCTCAGGGGCTGCTGCCACCAGTTACCACCAGTGAGGCAGCTTGGGACAACCAGAATTCTCCCTTTCACCATCTGGAGGCTGGAAGTCCAAGATCAAGGTGTCACTGGCCTGTGCTCCCTCTGGATGCCCCAGCGGAGGGTCCTTCCTCCCTCTTCCAGCTTCCGGGAGTCCACAGACATCCTCCCTCGGATCTCTGCCACTGTCTTCACATGGGTATCTTCTCTTTCTGTGCCTCCTCAAGGCGATTGGTCATTGGATTTAGGATTCACCCAGGTACTCCTTTGAGACCCTCAATTACATCGCAAAGACCCTTTCCCCAAAGGTCCTGTTCACAGATTCTAGAGGGTAGGACACGAACATGATAATTCAACCTTGTACATGAGCATTACTTCAACTGTAGCAGAAACAGCCAAACTGTTTTCTCAGGTGGTCACACCATCCTAACCCCCATGCCCTCAACTAACCCTCTGGGTGTGAGACAGTTCAGGGGTGGAGGGCAGCCCTTCAGCTGGATGTGTGTCCTGTGGGCCAGCCAGATGGTACAGGGTCAGTGAGAGAGAAGTGCAGCCAACAAGAGGGGTGATCTCTGCAGAGAATTCAAAACAGTAAGAAAAGCATCATAAGCCCCATCCCACAGCTGGCATGCTGCAAGATTGCTGAATACAATCTTCTGGGGGGAGGATGAATTAGCTGCTGTGATTACTACAGTTTTATTAACAGGAATGCAAGTTCCAAACTTGCCTGTTTTCATTCTTTGTGTGCTCAGTCATGTCCAACTCTTTGTGGCCCCCTGGACTGTAGCCCACCAGGCTTCTCTGCCCATGGAATTTTTCAGGCAAGAATACTGGGGTGCGGTGCCATTTCCTTTTCCAGAGGATCTTCCCAACCCAGGGATAGAACCTGCATCTCTTATGTCTCCTGCACTTGCAGGCAGATTCTTTACCATTAGCACCACCTGGGAAGCCCCATAATAGCTCCTTATTTGTCTCAAATCTGCTAGATGAAGTCCAGATAGCTCCAATATTAGCCTCAAAATATTACTAGGAAGTTGAAGTCCCAAGAACTTAGCTTTAAGTTACACAGACCCAAAGACCAAGGAGTTGTTATTGTTTAGTCATTAAGTCGTGTCTGACTTTTCGTGACCCCATACACTGTAGCCTGCCCAGCTCCTCTGTCCCTCGGATTTCCCAGGCAAGAATATTGAAGTGGGTTGTCATTTCCTTCTCCAGTTTTCATCCTTTATCCTTTAATAAACATTGCCTCCTGCGGGAAGTCCATTTGAAGAATTCCCAGCACAGGAGGCTTGAGTGGACTCAGTTGTGCATGCCTCCCTGGAGAGGGAGTTTCCGTCTGTAATCACCTGCGGTCCCTCCGGGCAGCGATCCAGTCGCTAACCCAAGTGGACACAGTCAATAATAAACCCGAGGATGGTAAAGACGAAAAGAAACAGATCTTGAGTCACTCATTTCCTTTGTTGCATGTAACCACCTGGCCTTTTTATTCATGTTTAAAAGGAAAGAGTCAAAGCGGTGTGGAACTTATGCTGGGCAAGGGCTAATGCTAGTTTCGACCAACGTTGCTGATTCGAGTATCTTTAAAATTGCTATGTGTTCTCTCTTTAAATGGCTCCATCGATCCCTGGTTATATGGTCATTTCCGGAAACAATGTTGCCCCCTGAAAGAGTGGCTTCGGGAAGTCGCGGCTGGTGGGATCACAGGCCGTCTGCTAGTGAACCCTGCACTGGCGTCTCTCTCCCCCCCACCCCCAAACCACCCCGGGGCAGGCGCCTCGCCCTGGTCAACCGGTCCAGCTGCCTGGGGAGTAGATGACAGCGCTACTCCGCAGAGCTCCGGGGAGGAGGAAGCCAGAGACTCAACTTCCACGATCCATCCCCGCACTGCAATGAGGCAGAGGGGCCCGTCTGGGCCTTTCGGGGACCCTTGGGGACTGCAGGTTAACACCCGGAACGCTGAATCCCTTCTTCCCCATCCTACCACCAGGGGGCGCGCGGGCACCATGCCTCCCTTCAGAGCTGCGACCCGCTCGGCCTCGCGGGGTTGCGGGGTGGGCGGTCCCGAGACCCTCCGGCTTCATCACTTTTAGCAGAATGAACAGGCCTGGGCTGCCCCAGGAGCTGCTGGTCCCAGGCGTACAGTAGGCGCTCAATAAATAGTCTTTGGAGGAACGCACGAGTGAACCGAAGGGGTAGGGCAGGAGTCCCGAAGGGTGTGGTTCCCATGGTCAGGGCTGAGTGGGGCTGAAAGGGTACGCACAGGTGGGGAAACTGAGGCCCAGAGAGCTGCAGGGCTTGACCGGAGGTCACCCACAAGGTCAAGGGTTGAGTCCACTGAGACCTGCATGTCCTGCACCCCTTGCACACTCCCACCATCCTGCACCCCAGAGGAAAACAACCACAGAGAGTACAGATGAGCAGGTTGTCTCAGATGATGACATGAGCCTCCCCACTCAGTGTGGGGAGGCAGGAGGAGAGGTTTGCTGGTACCCCGCAGACACTTCCAATCCCCATGACCTAGGCCTACCCTCCTGGCTCTAGAGTCTATGAGGAGACCACATCCAGAACACATGAGGACAGGGCACAGGCTGAAGGTGGGGCACTGACCTGCTTACTCTGCTGGAGGGGTCCCCCCCGAAATTGGCCTGAGAGGTATGTGTGGCCCCAAGGGGCATGGGGACAGGATTGGGACCTAAGAAACACGCCCCCCCCCACCTCCACCTTCCCTTATCATCTATTTCCTTGTCATCACCGTCCTCCCAGGACCTCCCTCAGCCATGCTGGAGGGAGTTGGGGGCTGGAGCAGGAGGAGGAGGGGCAAAGTGCACATGATCACATGTGCACACGGGGGTTGGGGGGGGGGCAGGGAGCATGACTGTGGATCTGACTACCAGCGCATTCCAAAGTGTCTGTGGCCAAGTGTGTGTAACTGGGCTTGTTTTTTTTATTATTATTTTTTTAAAAAACAGCTCTTGTAAAAATTAAATAGGAATAAAAAAGGGGTGAACAGCAGGGTTGCCTGGAGGAAAGCCCACCCCACCCTCAAATTGCTGAAGCTGTTAAGATTATCTGTGAACTTCCTGGTAGCAAGGGCAAAAGGGGAAATTGGTATGTTACAGTGCCTGGGTAGGCATGTTTTCTGGGGGTCATGCCTGTTTGTGACAGTGTCTCTGAAAATATGAGAGTGCGTGTGTAAGTAGCAGCCTGAAAGGAGAGAGTGTTGGGGGTTAAACAGTGATGAACTTCCTGGTAGGCAGGACAAGAGGGAAAACCGTTACCACGTCTCTTTAGGCATGTTTTCCTGGGACCAGGCTTGTGTGTGACAATGTCTCTGAGCACATGAGTGTGAAGCAAGGGGAATAAAAGCAGACACAAAGTCTCTGGGTGTAGAACAGCTATGTGTTTCCTGGCAGCCAAGGTGAGAGACGAAACCAGAATTAAAAGTCTGTTCATTGAGTCCTCACCAGTGTGGACCTGCTGGTGACTGGCTCTGAAGGTAGGGGTATCTGAGTGTGATGATGGGAGTCATAGAGCTGCAGGTGGAAGACAAACAGTTCCTAGCTCCCTGGAAGCTATAGAAAGAGGAGACATATGCTGACTTAGACTAGTCACCCATGTGCAGCCAAGGTCTGGTCCGGGGGCTCAGAGAGGGCAGTGCCGTGCAGCCAGGCGCACGCGACTGTCCTCGGCGGGGCTCCAGAGCCGGGCGTAGCCAGCATGGGGGAGTAGCAGCCGGTCCTGGGTGCCATCAGGGCTAATGAGGCGCCGGGCAGCCAGCAGGTAGTCCCGATGGAGGGCCAGCGGGGGGCAAGGGCAGCGGCTTGGCGCCCACACGTACTCCAGGGCCCGCAGTGGAGAGCGGTTCTTGTAGATGAGCTGTACGCGCACCTCATAGCGGGTCTCTTGGGCCTGGCGGACGCGGCCTAGCACCCGGGCCTGGAACACTGTGGGTGGGACCATGCTGAGCCCTGCTGGACAGGGCCTGGGTCCCAACCATGTACCCATTGCAAAATGACAGAACTGGGGGTCAGGTGGGGCAATGGAGGCTCTTGGGGACTGTGGTCAGCTGTGGCCTGGGGTCAAGGTCATCTTAGGAACAATGAAGGATCAGGAGTCAGATTAGGGCAAAGGATCAGATCAGGGAGTCAAATTAGGGTCAGAACGGGTCAAGTTTAGTCAGGTCAAGGAGTGAAGAGTAAAGTTGGACCAGGGTTAGAGGTCAGCAGGACAGGGGTCAAGTTCAGGTCAATTGGGGGCCAGGTGAGGGATGGGGTCAGGGACCTCTCACCGAAGTCACTGCCGCAATAGTGGAGCAAGCGGTGGGCACGACCGCGGGTGTCCGGGCAGGGGGGACAGGGCTCTGCAGGGGCAGTGCGGTCAGGGGTGCGGGCCTTGCCCCTGCTGGCCCCCAACCCAGGCTGTCCCCAGCTCACCTGGAGTGGGGATCGGGATCGGTGGAGGGATGACAGTGGGGGACTCAAGGGGCTGAGGGTCTACCTCCCGAGGCTGAGGCTGCCGCGGGGACCAGCCCAAGACCTGAGCCTGCGCCTGGAAGGGGCCATAGCGCTCCCGAGGGAGCCAGAACTCGAATTCAATGCCTGGGTTGGGCTCCTGCAGAAGGACCTGGGGCGGGGGCGGGGGCGGGGCGGGGAGAGTGTTACACACGGGAACTGCACTAGGACCTGATGGCCGGCCACTTCCCCACCCCCCACCTCCCACACACACTCTACCCAGCCTCCTCTCTCTGACTGGTAGTCCCCAGCCTTCCCCGTCTGACCCCTGCTCCCCCCCCAAGATTCTTTGACCCCACCCCCAACGCCCAGCCGCCCTCTCAGGCCCACCCCCACCTGCAGGAGCAGGTCTTCGGAGGTGGGCCCGGCGGCGCGCAGCGTCTCCTCCGGCCCTGTGGCGCGGGTGTAGATCACGCGGGTGCCCGCTGCCTCGTAGGTCCCGGCCGGGCTGACCGCCCAGTTCCCGTTGAGCACGTAGCGCCCGTCGCCGCCCATCAGCGCTGCAAGAGAAGGGTCAGCCCGGGCTCCCTGGAAATGACCTTGCCCACCCCCCCCCCCCCGACCCTGCCATCTCCCTCCCCGCGGGATTCGGGCGGCCAGCGCGGCGCCTCCTCCCTCGGACCCTGCGATACCCAGGTGGTTCCGGCTCCGGTGGGCGGCGCGGATGTGTCTGGCACCCTCGGGGATCAGGGTCACGTTCCAGTACCCAGCGAAGGCACCTGGGCGGGAGGGAAGGAAGGTGTTGGGGAGCAGCTAGGGTGTATTTGAAGGATGGTTTGAGGGCTAAGTGAGATGCTGCGGTAAGGAGATTAGCCAAGGCCCTGGTCCTCCGAAGACCAGTACTGACCGATGGGTTGGAGTTAGGATTATTACCACCGTTTAAGTGCGGCAGCAAAAGAGTCAAATCCACGTCTGTTCGGGGAAGGGCGGAATAATCTGGCAAAGACCAATCAGAATGATGGGGGGGGGGGTGGTGGGCCGGAGACTGTCCAATCAGCGCGGGACATTAAGGACAAAAAGGGCTCTGGGCGAACTCGAGGACAGGGCAGGCGGTCACCGGCGTCGCGGAACACGCGCTGTACGAAGAGGCACGAATCGTTGGCGCCGCCGCAGCGGCCGCAGCGGTCTTCGCGGGCGTCGGAGCCCAGCAAACCGTCACAGCCGGCACTCTAAAGGGGTGGGGTGGACACGCGCACCGTCAGACGATCCCCGCCCGCCTAGGCCATCGAAGGGGCGGGACCCTGGAAGAAAGCTGAATCTAGAACTAAAAGGATGGAGCCTTGGGGGCAGGTCCTCGAGGGAGGAGGCTGGGGATGGAGTCTAGTGATAGATGGGGCAGGGGAGGGCAAGGACTTGATACGGGGCGGGGCCTAGGGAAGAGGGCAGGACCAGGAACTAAATAAATGGGGTTTGGAGGCGAGGTTTGGAGGGAAGAGGCGGGGTGGAATTTAGGGGGCGGGGCCTTGGTGGGAATGGGCGGGGTGGGGCGGGGCCTGGAATCCTCACGAGGCAGCGGCCAGCCACGCAGAGTCCCTGGGCGCCCGGACTGCAGGGGGTACCGTCCAGCACGCGACCGAAGCTGTGATAGAAGTCGTGCCCCACGGCTAGGCAGTTGAGGTCGCACTGGTTGGGTGCTGGGGATGCGAGAAGTCGGCGGGCGTGCGGGGGGATTTATATTTGAATTACAGCTCCCTCCTTGCCAGTCTTCCCCAGACAGCCATCCCCTTGGACATATGAGGCTCAGAGACTCAGCCAAAGCCACAAATGGAGGCTGAGGCAGAGCACGGACTGGACCTTAGGCATTCTGCTTCCTGTTCCCTGGGATTGTCCCAGACTCGTATACTGAGCCAGAATGTATTCCATTCGTTCGTTCATTCATTCATTCATGTTAAGTCCTAGTACTAGGGACCCATTATTAACGTCATCTGGAGAAGGAAATGGCAACCTACTCCAGTATTCTTGCCTGGAAAATTCCATGGACAGAGGAGCCTGGCTGGCGGGCTACAGTCTATGGAGCTGCAAAGAGTCAGACACGACTGAGCATGCACACACAATATCAACGTCATTACCTATTCTTCACTCATTCTTTAATATATTCATTCCACAAACAGTCATCAAGCACATTTCCCAGACAATGTTCTAGGCTCTGGGTAGAGTGGTGGGCAGAACTCATTCAGCACTTGGACCCTGCACCCAGCAGGTGCTCAATAAAAAGTATTTACTCAGTGCTGAGTCCTGCATATCCTGAGTATGTTGCTGTCCCTCCCTGGGACTCTGTTTCCCCCTCTGCCTGGCAGCGGGGCACAATGGATAGTCTGATCACACCCACAGGCTCACAGCCCCGATCCCTGCTCCCTCACCCCACCCCCGCTCAAACTCCCTCCATCTCCCAACTTCCTGAGGCTGGCTGGCAGACCCTGCCTGGAATGGGGCCTAAGCTGGCCCTGGCGGGCCTCTATGGGGGTGAGATCATGGCAAGTTTCCTCCAATTCTTAGGGTGAAGGGAAAAAAAAAACAACCCATGAGGTTGACGGTTAGAACTTTCTCCATTCCAGGATTTTCTTATCTGTGTCTACCCCCACCATGGCGTCTGAAGCTGCCTTTTCCCCTTAAATCTGGAGGCACGCTGCCCTGGGCACACAGTTATATAACTCGCTATTTTCAGCTCAACAACATTTCCTGCTACTGGTATAAGTTTGAGAACTCTTGGCCTCTGGATACAGCTCCCAGTAAATCCTCAGCTTGGTGTTCAACTCTGTGCAGAATAGACCCTTCCTCCTTCTGCCCTGCTTCACAACTCCCACACGCTTTCTCGGCTTCACTTCACCAACTCCTACATATCCTGCAAAGCCCCAGTGCTAATGCCCCCTTCTTGCAACCCTCCAAGTTCCTCTTCCTTTTTAGAAGCCAACTTTTTCTGGCCAGTTTTGAGTTGTTCCCTCTGGACTAACAGGAGGCTGGGCTACTCACCACCATAGAAGGGCACCCATTGGTAGGTCTTCTGGGTGCCTAGGACGGGGTGGCCATTGTAGAGGGCACATTGGAGGTCTCGAAAGGGCATGGCCCCTGGGGGACAGTCCTGGGGACAGAGATGGGTGCAGCAGAGGCTGGGACAGCCCTAGAGCACCTGGTATGGTGGTAAGCATATTTGGGGGCTTGAGCAGGAAAGCAGGAGGGCTTCAGGGAGAACTGAGTTTAAGAGATGGGGTGGGTAGTACATACAGGCTGCTGGCAGAGGCGGTACTCATGGGTGTCTCCCCAGCACAGTTCTTCCCTTGGAAACCTATGAGGAGCAAGGGGGCCAGACTGTTGTCAGCACCTCCGGGAACCCCCTTCCCCAAAACCAGCCTGCCCATCAGTCTACCCTCGCCAACCCCACCCACATTCCAGCTGGATCAGTGGGATTAAAAGTCACAGCATGTGTGGGCAGGCCAAGGGTGCGGCCAGGGGCTGGGCTGGGCTGGCAGGAGAGGAGGGGCAAGGACCCCCCTCCCATTCCACTGGGCAGCCTCCTCACCGGATACATCTCCGGCTGCGTACTGAGAGCCCTCGCCCGCAAGAGCTGGAACAGCGACTCCAGGAACCCCATGGCATCCACTCACCTGGACCCTACTTGGGGAGAGAGAGTCACAGTCAGCCTGGAGGGGAGGCTGGCTAATCCTGTGCCGCAGCCGCGTCCCCATCCCTGCTGCCCCAGGGCCTATGTCCCCTTTTACCTGAGCGTTGCCCCCTAAACCACAATTCAGGAAGGTCCACAGCAGAAGAAAGAGGTTCCAGAGGGAGCGGGGTCTGGGGGGAGCAGAGGGTGCATGGAAGTGGGGGTGCCAGCAGGCCAGGGGTTGAACCCCAGCTCTACCCCGACTGGCTGTCTGATTTGACAGTAACTCAGCCTCTCTGAGCTTCCCTTCTCATCTGTGAAAAATGAAGTCATAATAGAGCCCACCTAATAGAAAAGTTTTGAGGGCTCCGTCAGATTAGGTGAGAAAAATGGGAGGCACAGAGCCTGGTATGGAGAAGGAAAACGTAAAAATTATTATTGGTTGTTTATTGTCATGATGCACACAGTAGGTGCTTATTTAGTGTCTCATCATGGAAAGAATCATTCATTCCAGGGATGTGCACAGTTCTCTCTAGGGTCCTAGGTCCTTCCCCACTCTCCCCACCATCTTTGCATTTACCTTCTGGTATGGCCAGGGGCCAGGTGCTCCTCTTTCTCTGGCCTCAGTTTCCCCATCTGTGTAATGGGGACCAGCTTGGTTCTGTCCAGTATTCTATGAGACCTTGCAGAGGGTGTGGCTGGTGGGAGCTGGGGCTGGTGCCCGGCAGAGACACCCCCTCACAGGCAGGCCCCCAGCCTCCAGGGCTCCCTCAGCTCCCAGATGTGAGACAGCAAGGAGCTCCTGGATGGGGTAAGGGGCAGGGAGGGGTGACCTGGCCCTGGTCCAGTGGGTGCCTCATGGCCTCATGTGCGGAGGGTGTGGGATGGAGCCCCCGAGCCACCTGCAAGAGGGAAAGGGGCCGCCAGTAAGGATGATGGAGGGAAGAGGGAGGCAGCTGCGTGGGGGTAGGCGAGGGGGTGGCAGAGAGACTTTGCCTCCTTGGGCCTCAGTTTCCTTATTTGTCAGGGAAGGATGCAGTCATTTGTCATCCCCACCCTCAACATGACCACAGTACTGGATGAGGAAGGGGAGGGAAGCAGCCACCTAGTGAGTCCTTTCTCGGGCCAGGGCCATGGCACCCGGCAGCCAGCAGTGCCCAGAGGACACACAGGACGTTGGAGGCCTGCAGCGTGGAGGTCCTGGCGCTGGGTGGGGCAGGCCAGCCCACTAGACCACCCTGAGCCCCTGTTTCCCTGGTTATCCAGTTCTCCTGGCTCAGAAACACTAAGGAACTGGGCGGGGGGGCAACCCCGGGGTGGGACCCCGTCTGATCAGAGCCCTGTGACTCGCTGCATCTCTAAACCCCAGCCCCGGCTGGCTTAGGCAGCAGGAAAAAGTCCGGGCTGGGGAGCAGAGGGGGAGGGGGCTGGCCCTTCTGACAACTGCTTCCCACTTAGCACTGGCTTGTTGCGGTGGGGGGGTCTAGGTGATGGAACATGAGGGGCCAGAAGGACCACCGTTCCCACTCTCTAGGGTTCCCTACCCGAGGAGCCGCACGGTGGGTACAATCTCAGGGCGTCCACGCCTCCGGGCCTCAGTTTCCCCAGGAGGAAGTGGCTTCCTCCCACCCTATGGATGGCTGCCTCATCCCCCAACCCCAGCTTTGAGTGGGGGAGAAGACTCTGGCCGCGATAGTGGGGGGATAGAAAGAGGGACTTACCGGCTACGCAGAGCCCAGGCGGCTCGTCCTGGCTCCCCGGGCGGCCCCTGGGCGAGCGGAAGCGGCGGGGCCCGCGAGGAGGGGCGGGGGGAGCCCGGCGCGGCCCCTCCCACCCGGCCTCCCAGGGCGCGCCCCGGCCGGGGTCCGGAGGGGCTGCGGCGCCGTGCGCCCCCGCGCGGCCGTTGCGCGCCCGGGCACCGATCTGCGGCAGGGGACTGCCCTGCACGAGCGGTGCCCCTCCTCCCCCCGGGGCTGCGGCCTGGTGTCCGACCGTCCGCGTCCCGGTGACCTTGGGAAGCCCAGGGCGGGGGAGCCACGCGGGGACTGACCCCCACCTCGGGGCTGCTATTCCGGGCGCCGCGCTCAGGGCCCGGGAATGTGCGCACACCGAGGGCGCCCTGCTGCGGCTCCTGGAGGGCGCTGCCCTCTCCACCGACGCCCAGATCGCGTCGCCCCGAAGGTTCCTTTTCGCGGCCACTACCCCTCCCCAAATCCCTTTCCCTACCCCTCCCTCAAGGTCACTCAGGGTTGCGGTTGCGGTGTTCCCGCCCCTGGTCCCGACCACCCCCAGCGTAGGGCCCCAGAGCATTGGGGAGAAGCTCGGCCCCAGGGGCCGGGCGTGGGGGGCGGAGAGCCCCTTCCCAGCCTGGCGCATTCCCGGGCGCTGCTGTCACCAGAGGACGCGCCCCACCCTGCCTCCCGCCCTCCTTGCACGGCCCGGGGAGGCGAGCCGTGGCTTCGATGCTAGCCCTGGTCGAGGAGGTCCCCCTCTCATGTGGCTGCGGACCCGCCCTCCTCGACCTCAGGTTCCCCAGCCAGGCAATGGGGCCCGCGGGGACCTGTCTCCACCGCGATACTTTGTGCGGACCGGCAAGGACAGGGTTACCCCAGGGCTCCCCACCATCCCAACCCTTTCCTGGTTTAGCATCTGCGTACCCTTCATCTCCCTCCCTGGCAGGGACGCCGCAGGCGCCCTCCACTAGCCCCCTCCCCCTGGCTCCTCCCCGTCGCCCCGGGATGCCCCCTGGCGAGCGGCTTGAGAAGACTGGGTCACTAAGTGGGCGAAGGGAGGACTGCCCGAGTGGGCTCGCCCGGGCTCAGCGTGAGTGCTGCCTTCTCCCGGGAGCCCGGTGTGGGGTCTCCCAGCCCAGACTACAGGGAGGGCGCATTGCAGATCCCGCTCTTTTCTCCAGCCTGGAGCAGCTCAAAGCAGGGCTATCCAATGCCATTTATTTGTCCAAACCTTATTGAGCACTTACTGTGTGCCACTGCGGGCTTCCTGGGTGGTTCAGCGGTAAAGAATCTGCCTGCAATACAGGAGACTGTGGTTGGATCCCTGGGTTGGAAAGAGTCCCTGGAGGAGGTCATGGCAAACCCACTCTAGTATTCTTGCCTGGAGAATCCCATTGACAGAAGAGTCTGGAGGGCTACAGTCCATGGGGTCAAAAAGAGTCGGACTCGACTGAAGACTGAGCACACACATGTGCTGCTGCACCTGGAAACAACCCCACCAATTAGGCTAGTGAGGTAGGCATCCCCTAGAAGGGTGTAAGGCCACCTTCTGACCTAGAGGCTCTGAAAAAATAGCTCAAGCCCACTGCAGATGGGGTGGGGGGTCAGGAAGGCCCTTCCCCAGAAGGTGATTGCCACAGGGAGGTGGCGGAAGGGCACCTGGAACAGCACATGCAAAGGTCCTGAGCCTGGAATTGAGAATAAGGTACCATAGGGAAGTTAGTGTGGTTGGAGCAAATAGCCAGGGTTGTGGTGGAGATGTGGTCAGAGAGGGGTGGGGGGTGGCAGCCCTGGGAGGGGGGGGGGGGGCTCTGGTTTGGGAACACCTGCCTCTGGCATTCTGGGGGCAGGAGGGGACTCCAGAAAGCAGTGGGGAGGCAGCGGCAGGCATGGTGGGGCCAAGGGCTGGGGTGGGGGAGGGGACAGCACTGGGTGGTTCCCAGCAGCCTGGGAGTGGCGTCTGCAGGCTGTGTGACAGATCCCAGGGGGATTGGATGGGAGGAGGCAGGCAGGAGTTTGGCCTGAGCAGCCAGGGAGGGGAGGCGCCCTCTTCCCTGAGGGGTGGGGGTGGGGGGCAAGTTCAGAGGTCAGCTGGGGAAGGGTCTAGGCCTGAGGCACCGAGAGGCTGGGAGTCCAGGGGCCACATCTGGCCAGAGAGGGACACGTGGGCATCCACTGCACACAGTGGTGGTGAGAGTAGTGGATGAGGTCATGGGGTGTGCGTGTGGACAGAACAAAGACTGGGGACCCCTCAGGTCTCCAAAGAGTGGGCGTCTGGGAGGGGGGAGTAACCTGTGTGGGCGAGGTAAGGATGGAGCTGAACCAGTGGCTGGTGGATCAGCATCGATGGAGGCAGTGACCTTGACAAGGCTGAGCCTCGTGGGTCAGGGCTCGAGAGGGTGGCAGGAGGAGGCGGGTAATGGTGAGGGCAGGTACCCTCTGCAGAGCACCTACTGTGTGCGAAGCTGGGACCTAGGGCCTGGGCGGTGTCAGAAAGAAATCAGGCTTGACCAGGAGCGCCACCAAGTGGACAAGCTCATCCCCCTCCCATGTGCCTCAGGCCCCAAGCCCCAGGGGGTGGAGACAGTGTGCCTGCAGGAAGGTATACAGAAGGCTTCAAGGACTGCATATGCCAAGCATTGTGCTCAGCAGAGTGCATACAGCAGGCACTGTGTCCTGCAGGGAGCATACACAGCAGGCATTAGGCTTTGGAGGGGATATATACAGCAGTCACTGCATCCTAGAGACATGCATCCAGCAGGCCCTTTGTCCTGCAATGAGTGTATACAATAGATACTGCAACCTGCAAGGAATGCATTTAGTAGATACTGAATGTCCCGATATGGTTTTTCCAGTGGTCATGTTTGGATGTGAGAGTTGGACTGTGAAGAAAGCTGAGCGCCGAAAAATTGATGCTTTTGAACTGTGGTGTTGGAGAAGACTCTTCAGAGTCCCTTGGACTGCAAGGAGATCCAACCAGTCCATCCTGAAGGAAATAAGTCCTGCGTGTTCATTGGAAGGACTGATGCTGAAGCTGAAACTCCAATACTTTGGCCACCTTATGCGAAGAGTTGACTCATTGGAAAAGACCCTGATGCTGGGAGGGATTGGGGGCAGGAGGAGAAGGGGACAACAGAGGATGAGACAGCTGGATGGCATCACCGACTCAATGGGCATGAGTTTGAGTAAACTCCAGGAGTTTGTGATGGACAGGGAGGCCTGGCATGCTGCGATTCATGGGGTCGAAAAGAGTCGGACACGACTGAGCGACTGAACTGAACTGAACTGAACGTCCCCAGGAGTGTATGCAACAGTCCATGTAGCCTGCAAAAAAATGTATACAAAAGTCACAGCACACTGTAAGGAGTGCATACAGCAGGCACTGAGTACAGTGTCTATGGCAGGCATTGTACTCTGCAGTGAATGTATACAGCAGGCACTGAGTCCTGTAGAAAGAGCATACAGCAGCCCCTGTGTCCTGCAAGGACATCACACAGCGCTTACTGGATCCTCCAGGGAGCGTATACAGTAAGCCTGTGCCTAGCATGGGGACACAAGCGCTTGAGGGCTGGCGACATGCGACTGGGGTGAAGGTGTGGAGTCCTGTGCCTGCCCGTGCCTCCCAGCCTTTACTGCTCCCCAGGTTTCCAGCCTCGCATACCCAGCCAGGATGAAACTCAGCTGGGTTCAGCTGATTCCCAGAGGGGAAGGCTGAGCGCTTAACTCACAACACCTGCTGCAGGTGGAGGGATGGGTGTGAGGTTTGGCGGCTCCAGGTGCGGTGGCATCTCACCACCCCCAACTCATGCACTGGCCTGGACCTAGTGCAAGGCCTAGTTGGACCTAGGCCCAGGGGTTATGGGGTCCCCCAACACTGAACTCTATCCTGAACCCCACCCTTGAAGCTGGGCTTGGCCATGATCAGGCCCAGTGAACATGGGTCTTGAGGGATGTGGATCAGCCAGGCTTTCTCTGTGGCCTCACAAGCTTGAACATCCCGAACACCCTCCCCAACCCTCTGCAGCCTCCCGTGATCCCTCAGGCCTGGCCATGTGGTCCACAGGACCCTCCAGCCTCCTGTGTAGACTAGGTAGGAGGGGTCCTGTCACCCTGCCCCAGAACTTGGGTCCCTGAAGCTGCCCAGCTGTTCCTGGCCATGAGTGGAACAGGATCGGGGCCCCGCCATGGCGAGGGCGGCCCATGTGAGCTGGGATGGTACTGCTTCTCCACCCTAGGGAGATGCCAACAGAGGCCAGAAGCAGAAAGGGCTGGACTTCTGAGACAGTTGTTTGAGTCCCTGGATAAAGCCATACCTGAAGCCATCCATTATGTTTTACTTGAGCAATTTTGAGTTTCTGTGACTTCTCATCAAGGGGTCCCCACTAATAGAGAACAGCATCTTTTCCATCACCTTCACCTCCCCAGACAAGTCCTGTTTCTTAGGTCACTGACCCTGTGATGGAGCAGTTCACATCTACAGGTCACCACTGCCTTGAAGGCCTCCATATCTGATGTGACACTCCCCACAGCCCCCATGAGAGAAACCCTCACCCCACCTCGTGGGTCAGGACTCTGGAGAACAGAGGGGAATAGTCACACGCAGCAAGACTTGGAGGGTGTGGGGTGACTTCACACTCATATCTGAATGGGTGTCCTGAGCTCCTTTTTTAAATTTAATTTTTCTTTTTTTTTTAACAAACTATTTTCTTGACATGTACACACTGCTTTATTTATTTTTGGCTGCAGTGGGTCTTTGTTGCTGCACGTGTGCTTTCTCTAGTTGGGGAGAGCGGGGCTACTCTCCAGTTGTGGTGCATGGGCTTCTCATTACATGAGCTTCTCTTTTTGCAGAGCACGGGCTCTAGGCACACAGGCTTCAGTAGTTTTGGCACGTGGGCTCAGGTGCTCTGAGGCATGAGAAATCTTCTCAGACCAGGGGTCAAACCCTTGTCCTCTGCATTGGCAGGTGGATTCTTATCCACTGTGCCACCAGGGAAGTCCCTAATTTAATTTTTTTAATTTTTGGCTGCACCGCAAGGCATTCGGGATCTTAGTTCTCAGAACCCAGGCCCCCTGCAGTGGAAGCCTGGATTCATTGTTTGTTTGTTTGTTTAATTATTTTATTTTTAATTGAAGGATAATTGCTTTACAATATTGTGTTTGTTTTGGCCATACATCAACTTGAATCAGCTGTAGTATACCTATGCCCCCTTCCTCTTAAACCTCCCTCCCACCCTCTCCTACCCCTTCCCACCCCTCTGGGTTGTCCCAGAGCACGGGGTTGAGCTCCCTGAGTCATACAAGAAGCCTGGATTCTTAATCACTGGACCGCCAGGGGAGTTCTTCCTGAGCTCCTTTTGAGGCAGTGGGGTGGGGGGACACTTGAGCCAGGGGATGCTGGAGGCAGGACCTGGAGAATGAGGGGGAACTGAACAGAGGAGGGTGTGAGAGAGAGGGTGTTCCTGGCTGACAGAACAGCACGTGCAAAGGCCGAGGGGCCAGAGGAGCCGGGTGAGGACCAGGCCCTCTGAGGAGGCCTGTGTAATGGGGTGAACAGGAAGCCGGGGAGGTGGGGGGCAGGGGCCTCCCAGCACCTGGGGGCTAGGAGCATGGGAAAGTTACACAGAAACAGCAAGAAGCGTTAGGTGAGAAGGTTAGAAAAGTTATGCAGGATCCAATGGCAGGTATATAGAACTATCTATGTTAGCATTAGCTCAGACAGGAAGGGGATAGGAATAAACCCCCATGGTCACCCACAATGATCTGGGGGTAGAGGTTAGAGGTGACTCTGAGTTACTTACTGCCTTTGAGGTTTTAATTTCTTTTTTTTTTTTTTTATTTCAAAAGGGTTTATTGACAAGTGATAAAATAGATGGAAACCCCTCATCTAGACTCATAGAATTAAGAACTAAACAAAACAAAAGGCAAAAACATTATCTGTGGCTTTAAAGACAAAGAACAGAATGAGCAAACATTTCATCCAAGATTTCTGGATGATTTCTATGACGATTCCGCTGGGTACCAGCTGCCTCTGAACACAGATCTGCCTGATGGAGTCATAGGCACACTCCTTGAAAACCACAGAACACTCAAAATGACAATCATCAGGATGGAAATACCTAGAAGTAAACAAGCCAAGGCCAATTACAGCATCTTGGATTTGAATGACTACATGGTCATGTAAGAAACTGTCAATCCAATCAAAAAAAAAAATCTCCACAAAACAATTTCTACGTATTTACTTGTAAATCTAAAGGCAGAGTGACTAAGTGCCCTAGCAGTCAGGCATCAGCAATAAGACTTGGTATAAATGAATTAAAAAGTTTATTAGCCATAGAAAAAAAAATTGATTCTTTCATTGTTATTAAGTTCCCTGTAAAACAGTAAGCTTGCAGAAAATTTCTTCCTCATGAACAGAAAATCACTATGTTTTTGGTCCAAAATATGTTGGGATTTTTTCCTTTCTTCTTCAGATGACAGACAGATGGATGTAGCAGAATCTATGAACGAGTGTACTTGCCCCAAATGTGCAACATAAATACAGAAGCGATGAACAGAAGACTCATCACCAATACTGGAACAGGGCCCACTTTGAGCCCTGGGGAATCCTCGGTGTAGAATCGCCACATCCCCCCGGTGCCCGCCGAGGTCGTCCGGCCCGCGCTCCTCGTTCCACAGCTGGCGTTCTTCCTCTGCCGGACCGTGGATCCCGCCGCCCGGGCCGCCACTGCTTTGCTGGGAGAGCGCACCGAGGAGCCCACGTTAGTGCCGCTGGGGGTCGGGCCAGGCATGTTGAAAACAGAAGGGAGGCCGGGAGCTGGAGTGAACTGCGGAGGAGCGGCAGAGCCTCGCAGCCAGAGCGAGGTTTTAATTTCTCGGTCACCTTTTAATTATTTTTTAAAGAGAACTTTAAAAAAATTTTGGCCACACTATGGCGATTATGGGATCTTATTAACCTGACTAGGGATTGAACCTGCACCCCCTGCAGTGAAAGCACAGAGTCCTAAGCACTGGACTGCCAGGGAAGTCCCTAAAGAGAAATTTTATTTTGGAATAATTTTAGATTTACAGAAAGTTACAAAAATATTACTATCAGTTCTGTCTATCCTTTGTCATCAGTAGTATAATCCCCACCCCACCCCTTAGGATGTTCACATCCTGGTCCCAGGGCCTGTGACCATGTAACAGGGCAGAGGGGACCCTGCAGGTGAGATTAATGCCCCTGAAATGGGGATGACCCTGGATTCCTTGGAGGGCCCAGTGTCATCACAGGGTCCTTATAAGAGGGAGGGGGAGGGTCAGAGGCAGAGAGACGGGAGATGCTGCACTGCTGGCTGTGAGGATGGAGGGAGGGGCCACAAGTCAGGGATGTGGTGCCTCTGCTGCTGCTGAATCACATCAGTCGTGTCTGACTCTGTGCGACCCCGTAGACGGCAGCCCACCAGGCTCCCCCGTCCCTGGGATTCTCCAGGCAGGAACACTGGGGTGGGCTGCCATTTCCTTCTCCAGTGCATGAAAGTGAAAAGTGAAAGTGAAGTCACGCAGTAGCGTCCGAGTCTTTGCGACCCCATGGACTGCAGCCTTCTAGGCTCCTCCGTCCATGGGATTTTCCAGGCAAGAGTACTGGAATGGGGTGCCATTGCCTCTAGAAGGTGGAAAAAGGGGGAACCAGTGCTCCCTGGGAGCCTCCAGAGGGACCAGCCCTGCCCACGCCTGAGCTCCAGAACATTAGATATATATGTGTGCTTTCTTTTATATTTATTTATTTATTATGGTTGTGCTGGGTCTTCCTTGCTGCTCAGGGTTTTCTCTACTTGCGGCGAGTGGGAGCTTCTCTCTAGTTCTGGTGTGTGGGCTTCTCATTGCAGGGGCTTCTCTTGTTTCAGAGCACAGGCTGTAGGATGCTCAGGCTTCACTAGTTGCAGTTCACAGGCTCAACAGTTGTGGTGCACTGGGCCCCATCGCGCCCTGTCGCTCTGTGGTACGTGGGATCTTCCTGGACCAGAGATCAAACCCATGTCTCCTGCATTGGCAGGCAGATTCTTTACCACTGAGCCACCAGGGAAGCCCCATGTGTGCTTTCTTAAGCCGACAAGTTTGTAACTCATTACAACAGCCACAGGAAACAATGACTATTGTGATGTCTAAGGAAATGACATTGGTATATCACCATTTCTAATTAATAATATTAGTAATTACTATAACGACTGACTAAACTCCAAATGTTATTTGGATTCCTTTTGGTTTTTTTTCCAACTAATTTCTTTTTTGTGTTCGAGGATCGCATCCAGGAGCCCACGTGACACTGAACTGTTTCTCTCATAATTGCTCAAAAGGCCCAAACAGATAAAATATGAATTATTCCTGTGGGAATCTGGCTGCTTCTGATGCTCACACAGCACTCTGCTTGCAGCCAGAGTTGACCAATGTCCCTGAACAGAGGTTGAGATGGCGTCCAGCTGAGGACATGGTGGGAAGAGCGTCCACCCAGGGTGGGCAGCACGCACTTGGGACCCTGAGGGTGCCCACCGAGCAGGTGGGGTCGGGGCGGCTCGTGGGAAGGTCTGAACTCGCCCAAGGCCTCCCCAGGGAGCGGGTCAGCATCTGCAGGGAACACAGCAAGGAAACACACAACCTGCTTCTACTGTGGAGCCCCCGGTCCTTGGGGGAGAACCCAGCAAACCAACAAGGAAACAGCATGATTTCAGGTTGTGTGGGAACCACAGAGGGACTCTTGGGGTGTGGGGGGCCCTTGCCTGGAACTCAGAAGATGAGAAGGAGTTACTGGATGAAGACCAGGGGGCGGGGAGAGCTTTGGGCTGAGAGAATGGTGTGTGCAAAGGCCCTGAGGTGGGATGAGCTTGGTGTGGGATCTCAGACAGACAGAAAGGCCAACATGGCTGGGCCAGGGTGTGGGTGTGTGGGAGAGACATGGGGACCCACTAGCAGGCTTTTAGATGCAATCCAATTTAGTTCCAGAAGACTTCTTATTGTCAGGAAGAGGCTGGGCTGTCCTCTGAATCCAACTCTCAGCCAGCCCCTGGTTCTGTGAGCCTCAGATGGCCCAGACATATTGTGTCCTCTGACCTGGCTGTGGCTATCCTGCCTGCTCCTGACCCAGGGCCCTGGCTGGTCCTGAGCATCGTGACAGGCAGCACCCACTGGTGTCTTCAGCTCCATCTCCTCCTCCGGTATCCCCTCTCTGACCCTGTCCACCCCCCACTCTGGCGTGGACATGCGTCTTAGTGTCACAGGTCAAAGGGGAGAGGTTGGAATGACTGAATCCAGGCTCTGCTTTGTTCTGGGTTAGGCAGTGAGCCCCTCAGAGATTCCCACCCACACCCTTCCTGTCCCAGCATCACTTCATCACTCTCCAAGCTGCAGTCAAACCACGTGTGGGAGACATTCCAAGTTGCACGTACAGGCAATGAGCATCCAGGGTGGAGGCCCCAGCTAATGAGGGGCTGAGGCCAGGGGTCCATACACTCCCCATCCTCCCTGTGGACAGGCAGCTCTGGAGAACCATCTACCCTGTTCCTCAAGGGCCCATAGTGGTTTCCGAGTCCTTCCCAGACTCATCCTCCTGGGCCCCTAGCTCCTGCTCTTCAAATCAACTCACTTCACTAAACCCTTGCTTCAGGCTCTGCTTTTGGCAGAGGCCAGACTGAGACAGGGGAGGAGAGACAAGCTGCCCACGTCAGTCTCCTGCTGGCCTGGACTATGCCAGAAAGAGGGAATAGACAAGGGGTATGGGGGCCTCTGAACTGAGCCCCAGGCTCCAGGAGGACAAATAGGGGCCTCAAAGGAGAACCAGAATGATGGGGTGAGAAAGGTGGGAGAAAAGCCTACAGAGAGGTGTCTGGAGGACGCGAGAGGACAGAGCTTCTAGAAGGAGTCAATGACAGTGGGCTCTGGGAATCTGGGAGAGACAAGGACGAGGTCTCCTCCTGTGGAAACTCAGGGGACATGGCACCTGGCCCCAACCACCCCTGCCAGCTTGGCCAGTCTCAAGGCAGCAGGCACTGTGGTCATGGGGTTCCCTCCTGCCCGCTCTGCTCATGGGGCCTTTCCCTGGAAACCTGCAAGGTCTGGCTGAGGGCTCCCAAGTACAGACAAGCAGGAAGAAGGGAGCCCACTGCACTTCAAATCCAGGAGACAGGAGGCTAGAGAGGGACCAAGGAGCCAGGCTGAGTTATGCCTATGCCTGTCCATCTGCTCCCGCACTGGTTCTGGATGGAAGGAGTCACAGCACTGTGGACCCCAAAGCTGACCCAGCCCACCCCCCGAGGAAAGCCTCCCTATCCCAGCCCCAATGCTGTCTCAGCAGTCACCCCCTCCACCTGCGGCAGGTATTATATTTTGAGCGAGGCTCCGTGGCACTTCTTCCAGGAAATCTGCTGAGTCTGGGGAGTTATCTCAGGTCAGAGAAAGAACAGACTGGAAACAAACCAAGCCTGTGGCCTGGAGCAAGGGGTCTCAGGGGGCTGTGTGGCCAGCCTGGGCTCCAGCCCACAACTCCTCAGCCTCCTGAGCCCCAGGCAGGTGTCAGCATGGGAGAGTCAGGCTGCCCCACTCAGCCTCCTACCCCAACACCAGCCCCTTGCAGAACTACAATTCTTAGCTTGCCACACATGTGAGGCTTCAGTTTGCTCATCAGTAAAATGCGGTTCTTAGTCAACCCCTAAGGCTGAGGGCTTCTTGGGGTGTGGTATCTAATATGGTTTTCACTTTTGATTGTGGCAAAATATACATCACGCAAAATTTGCCATCATCACCATTTTTGAGAGAACAGCTCAGTGGCATTAAACACATTCACACTGTTGTGTAACCAGCCACTCCATCATCTCCAGAACCTTCTCATCTTCCCAAATGGAAACTGTGACCCCATGAAACACTGACTCCCCCTCTCCTCCCCCACCCCCTGGCCCCACCATCTACTTCCTGTCTCTGTGGATCTGACTCCTCTTGGGACCTTCCATGAGTGGAATCAGATAGTGTGTGTCCTTCTGGGTCTGGCTTCTTTCATTGAGCATCATATCCTCAAAGATCACCCATATTGTGTCAAGCATCAGGATTTCCTTCCTTTTTAAGGCTGAATAATATTCCCCTGTGGGCTTGGAGCACATTTTGTTTATCAATCATCTTTTGATGGACACCCACGCTATTTCCACCTTTTGGCTGTTGTGAATACGGCTGCTACGAGCATCTAAGTTTTTCCTTTTATGATAAAGTTTTCCACTCTAGAGTGCTGGGGGAGGGCATCCCTGCCCAAGAGGGTGCAGGCTGAGGATGGAAAGTCTCCCCAGTCTGGTGGAGGAGGCTTAGCCAGGAAAACAGCAGGCTGCCGAGCGACTGGGGCAGAGTTGCTGTCTGCAGAGGGTGTCAGCTGACAGCCCTGCTGGGAGGCGCCAGGCCAGGAACTTGGGATTTCTTTCCCCAGGAGGCTTCTAGGGGTCCAGTGGGCTCGGCTGCCTGTCCCAGTGTGAGAGCTCTTCCTGTGCTCCTGGGGCCACCAGGGAAGGAGCCAGGGGGTAGTACTGGGAGGGTCAGGGGCTCCGGATCCCCTAACCTGCATTCCAGGCTGAGCACAGCTACAGTCCGGCGACTGGCTCACATATGCCTTCCTGAGCCTTGGTTTTCTCATCTGTAACATGGGGCTAAGAACAACCCCAGCCTCTGGCATGAGCCACTGTGTGGAAGGGGTCTGGGTTTCTGATGCTGACCTCCAGAACTGGCCCAGACCCCTGACTTTGGTTAAGTCTGGGTGATCTCCTGTCTACAGATTCCTGAGGGCTAGGCAGGTCTGTCTTGGCCCCACAGAGCCCAGCACAAGCTCCACACGCTAGTAAGTGCTGGACAAATACCTGAATTAGCAGGTGGCGGAGGTGCGGCCCTGAGAAGGACCTGGATTCCTGCCTGCCCATGCAGATTCCAGGGCGACAGTGACATGACAGCTCAGACCCACGGGCCCCCAGCTGTCTTCCTCCGGTCACACTGCACCTGATCCTCATTAGCAGGGGACTCAGGCTCCCTGGCCACAGTCAGCTGGGCCCTCGTCCCTGCCCCACACTGGCCTGGAATCCTTGACCCTGGCACTGAGGCCAGCCCCGCTGGAAAGGTGCCAGAGGCTGGTTCCCATCAAAAGCACTGGGGCCCCCTTAGAGTCCCCCATGCCCTGGGCACCCCCATTTGACATGCCATCTGACTACACAGAAGGTGCTTACTATCCCTGGTGGCTTGGCTGGGCCAGACTCTGAAATCTGGTCTCTGGAAAATTCCAAGGCCTAATTCCAGCCAAACGGAGCCCTTCTAACCCCTCCCCATTCATTGTGTTATGTAAGGTATGGGTATTAATTCTGAAGCATCTGGAGGCAGCTGCCTAGATTCAAACCCAGCATTGCCCCTTCCTGGCTGGGGAAGTGAGTTCACCTCCCTGGGTCTCAGTGTGTTCATCTGTGAAATGGGGACAAGGCCAGTACCTGGGTCTCAGGATCAGTGAAAGGGTGACTTGAGACAGCGGAAGTGTGAGGCACAGCTCAGAGATGCCACCATAGTTCCGCAGGGCCCAAGCCTGCCCTTTTGTCCTCTATCTGCCTGCCTCTCCACAGCTGCCCAAGCCAGAGCCAGGAGTCACCACCCCTAGTGCCTCTGTTTAGTCCTCAAATCCTGCTCCTGATGCCTAGTGTCCATTATGCACAGCAGCTTCCTAGCAGTGCCTCTCTGGGCTGTACTGCCCTCCCTACCAGCCCCAGTCACAGAGATATTAGGCTTCTTCCACTTTCTCTCTCTTCCTCTGAACCCTGCTGTGGCTCCCCAGGGCCAAGATGATCAAGCCTCACATTGTCATACAGGCAGGCCCCAGGGACCTACCAATCTGCAGTAGTCCCACGTGTGTATTCAGGACGATTAGACTCAGACCTCAAGCTCACCTTGCGGGGAGCCCCGCCAAGCCCTCATTCTCACCCACCCTTCCTTTTGAGGCCTCGAGAAAGTGAGACAAACCTTCTGACCTCAGTTTCCTGCTCAGAGAATGGGCGCGTGGACAATTCACAGCTTGGCGGGAGGCGCAGGATCAGAGAAGCCAGTGAGCTGAGCGCGCGACTGGCGCGGGGTTTACGTGCAGGATGCCAGCACCGCTCTGGTCCCTGGAACTCCCGCCAGCCCATGAGTCCCCACGCGCCCGCCCCCTCCCGCACCGGCCGCCCGGAGCGTCTGGACTCCACCCTCCCCCCTCGGCCAATAAGAGGCGCCCCAGTAGCGCGCGGCCCCCGGAGCAGCGCTGTGCGCGGTGGTCGCGCCCGAGGCTGCGCCAGTGCTCCAGCCAGGCCCCCGGGGAGGGATGGATCCCCGGCCGCGGCCGCGGCGGCGCAGTTGCTGCCCGTTGGTCTCCGTCTTCCTGCGCGACCCGAGCTCAGGGCGCGTGTACAGGCGCGGGAAGCTGATCGGCAAGGTGGGGACTCCAGCACTCCAAGTCCGCGGCAAGGGGGCCGGGTGGAGCGGGGGTCCCAGCCCGGCTGAGCGCAAGCAAAATCCCGACCCGCAGATGAGCCAGTGTGCGCCCTGGCTTTTGTCTCTGCGTGTCCGCGTGTCTGCGGGAGTTTGGAGGCTGGCGCGGGGCTGGCGTGGGTGGACGCCTGGGTCTGCGATGTACTCGCTGTGTGGCGCGCGTTGTGTGGCGGGAGCCGGTGTTGGGCGTGCAGTGCTGTGTCGTGGGTTATGTGTCCAGGGGATGGGTGTGTGGTGTGTTTCGGAGCCTTGGTGCGGACTCCCTGAGCGTGTGTGTCTGCGTGTGTAATAGGTCTGTGCTTTCTGTGTGCGGGCGTCGTAGCGTGTGTCTGGGTACTGTGTTGGGGTTCTGTGGTCTCTGCGTGTCCAGGTAAGGAGGCGTCTGTGATGTATCTGTGTGCCGTCGCGTTTATCTGTGTTGTGTTGCTTTGGGATTCCAGGTAGGAAGGTGTGAGCTCTGTGTGTGTGTGAGAGGAGGCCTGGCCATCTGTCCTCACACCTGTATGCACCCAGCTTGTCTTTCCTGCCCTGCAGGGCGCCTTCAGCCGCTGCTACAAGCTGACCGACATGTCCACCAGCGCTGTGTTCGCGCTCAAAGTGGTGCCTCGCGGAGGGGGCGGGGCTGCGCGGCTACATGCCCGCGGCAAGGTACTCTCTGCGCATCAGTGCCCGGGAGCCCCAGGACTGAAGCGGGTCCCCAGAGAGGTCCCTGCCCTGGGGTTGGGAGCTCGCCTGTGGGGGTATGAATGCCTCGGGTGTGGGCGCCTACCGGGTGCCCTGCCTGCAGGTGGAACGCGAGATCGCTCTGCACAGCCGCCTGCGACATCGCAACATCGTGGCCTTCCACGGCCACTTCGCTGACCGGGACCACATATACATGGTGTTGGAATACTGCAGTCGCCAGGTGCGGGGGCAGAGTGAGAGGGAGGCATGTCCCCTCCCACCCGTGTCTGCTAAGCTCATCTGTGTCCTCCCACCCTTGTCTGTCTCTCCTTACCTGTTTTAACCTGAGACCACGATAGGCCCACCTGTGCACCCCTGCCCACCCAAAGGCTCTCCTGACCCACCTAGGCACATCTTAGCCCATCCGTGCCTCTCCTGTACTCAGCCAGGCCCCACTTGCCCACACCTGTCTCCAACTTTTCAGCCCCCCCCCTTCCCCAGGTTCGGGGCTCCCAGGGCCACTCACATGGTGCAGCCCAGAGCCCAGATGTCTGATTGGCAGGGATGCCCGTTCCTGGACCCAACTGAACTTAGCTGCACCTTCACAGCCCACTTAAATAAACTCAGCCCACTTAAATAAACCTAAGCTCACCTGTGCCCAGTGTGCACCCACCTTGTGTTTATCTCTGGCCTACAAGCTCATCGTGGCCCCTCCATTCACTGAACTCCTGAGCTCACCTCTGCCCATGCCACAATCAGCCACGTCCACCTGGGCCTGGCTGAATTTTCCTTTGCTTTCTTGGGCCCCTGGAACTCACCTGTGTCTCCTCGATGGTGGTGCGGCACCTGTCGGGCCCCTGCAGTCGCTGGCCCACGTGCTGCAGGCACGGCAGACGCTGACAGAGCCCGAGGTGCGCTACTATCTTCGAGGCCTGGTCAGCGGCCTGAGCTACCTGCACCAGCGGCGCATCATCCACCGGGACCTGAAGCTCAGTACGGGCCGGGGCGGGGCTTCGGGGCAGGGTGAGGGCGGGGCTTCCACTCAAGCCACGCTCCTTCCTCACCGCCCGCTGCGTTCCCCTCCACAAGGTAACTTCTTCTTGAACAAGAACATGGAGGTGAAGATCGGAGACCTGGGGTTGGCCACCAGGATGGGGCCAGGGGGCCGCTGCCACAGGTGACTGCAAGCTCTGAGCGGGCTCTCTGGGTGGGTGCAGGTGGGCCTGGCCTGGTGTGGGGGCTCCCAGTCTTCCTGAGCCCCCGTTATGCCCCCAGAGTGCTCTGCGGGACCCCAAACTTCCTGGCTCCAGAGGTAGTGTCCAGAAATGGACATTCCTGCCAGTCGGACATCTGGGCTCTGGGCTGCATCATGTGAGTCCCCCTGGGAGCCCCAGGCCTGGGGAAAGGGGTTAGGAATGCCCAGGTGGGGACAGGCAGAGGCAGGTAAGGACGGGTGTAAGCATATACGGAGGAGGTTGAGTGTGGGGACAGGCAGGCATGAGCGAACATACGACCTCAGTGTGTGCAGCTGGGGGCAGGCAGGAGCAGGCACCTGCCATCACTTGGGCCTACAAGTATGAATAGGGATACAGGAGGGTGTATGTGCAGCAGAGGACGGGTTTGAACATGCCCAGAGGTGTGGACAGGTGTGTGCAGGTGTTAGCTACATAGGCAGATCAGGACATTTGTACAGACATGAGGCATATGCAGGATTGGGACAGGTGCGAGCAAGCATAAATTAAAACTGGAAAGGTCTATGCAGGTGTCCAGGTGTGACCCAGGTGCAGGCAGGGTACAGACAGATGCTGCTGTCTTCTGTGCAGACAAGAATGACTAGGTGACAGTGGACGCAGGGCAGGTGTGAGAAAATGGGTGTGAAGCGGGGATGGTGTCAGGGATTGAGGATAGGTGTGCACAGGTAGGTGTGACCCGACCCTGGATGCCCAGAATAGATCTAAGCAGGTGCCCTGCTTCCTGCCCCCAACCTGGCCAGGTACATGGTGCTGACTGGCGTCCCTCCCTTCGTGGCGGCTCCCCTGTCGGAGATGTACCAGAACATCCGAGATGGCCGCTACCCTGAGCCTGCACACCTGTCTGCCAACGCGCGCCGCCTCATCGCCCGCCTGTTGGCCCCCAACCCAGCCGAGCGGCCCAGCCTGGACCACCTGCTGCAGGATGACTTTTTCACGCAGGTGTGGGGTGTCAGCGGGACAGGGCGGCCCCTCTCTGGGGTGTCTCAGCAGCCCCAGGTGAGGGTCAGCACCCCCAGGTAGCACAGGCACTCAGGAGCAGCCTGCTGACCTCCAGCTCCCCACTCTGAAGGGCTTCACCCCAGACCGGCTGCCACCCCACTCCTGCCACAGCCCGCCCATCTTCACCATCCCCCAGCCTCTGGGCAGACTTTTCCGAAAAGTGGGCCGGCTGCTACTGCCCCATTACCGGGCGCCCTGTGAGTACCTCCCCTTCCCCCATCACCTGCTCCTCCCTGCCCTGCATCTCACACACCTGTCATATCCCCTTCCTGCTCTGAAACCACCTCCACGGCAGATGCCCTCCATGTAGGGCCAAGCTCTGCCCCCACCCCTAAATCCTTGTGCCCCCTGCAGGCCCCTTGGCTCCTCAGGAGGCCTCAGGTTCTGGAGAAGACGGTTCAGACCCTGACTCCATGGAGTGGGGCAGTGAGGTGAGGACTGGGAGTGGGGAGGTAGTGGGGAATGCAGAGGGTGTCCTCACAGCTGGCTGGGCATGGGGAGAAGTCACAAGGTCTCCATGGAGAGGCCAGAGCCCATCACCAATTCCCAACATCTGCTGCTCCCTCCCCAGGACTCCCTGTTGGAGAGCGGGGCTCTGTGCCCCCGAGAGACCCATCCAGCTGTTGGCCCAGGGGACACTCCAGAGTGACCCGGCGGGTGAGCATGCTCCATCCTAGACAGGAACTGTGGGCAGGGGTGAGGGTGGAGAAGTGGGGGTGAGGATTGCGCCTTGCAAGCATCACAGCCCCTCTCCTGGCCTCAGTTTCCCCACCTGTAAAGTGGGGACAGTGTCTGGATTCCTGGGTTGAACATGGGACTTTTCTGGATGTGGGAGAGGGGCTGGGGTTGCCCTCCAGATCCTGTGCCCCCCAACAGAGACTCCCGAGGGGAGTCCAAGGCAGGAGGTGGAGGCAACCATCAGGAACCTGCAGCTCTGCCTGGATTCGGGTCCCCCAGGTAGGGGCCGCACAAGATAACATGAGATTTGCTGAGAAGCCTGGAAGACAGACTTCCGGCTTCCCCTGGCCCTCCCTCTGGGCTGCTGGATATCCCTAGGCTCCCCATTCCTGCCTTTTTCCTCTTGGAAGCATTCTCTCTGGGCTGTCATGTGGACTTGAGCAATTTTATTTTTAATTTTAAAAAGAATGCTTAATGAAATAAAGCAAAGCCCTGCAGTGTTTTGGACCTTATAGGCATTTCAGATTTATTGATTGCTAAAAGCGGCTGTGACCCCAGGGTCCCCCAGTCCTCTCCCCTCAAGGCAAGAGTTGCTTGGGTTGTTTTCTTCGGCCACCCCATGTGTTATGCAGGATCTTAGTTCTCCCTACTAGGGATTGAACTGGCTCCCCCTGCAGTGGAACATGGAATCTTAACCAGTGGACCACCAGGAAGCCCCAAGAGTTGGTTTTCTATGCCCTGGACCTTTCTCCCCACCTCCTGTGCCTCCAGCAGGCCCCTCCAGGAACCCCCGCTCATGTCACTTCCTCCTTGTGCCCAGCCATGCAGGACCCCCCAGGAGAGCAGCAGCCTGTCTTCTGGGCCCCCAAGTGGGTGGATTATTCTAGCAAGTATCGCTTTGGCTACCAACTGTCAGACAGTGGCAACAGGGTCTTGGTTTGGGATAGCACCCACATGGCCCTGCACCCCCCAGGGACATAAATCATGGAGTTCCTACCCTCTGTGGGGCCAAGTCCTCCCTGCCTTCACCTTTCTTCATTCACTCAAGTATTTAATAAACACCGACTGTGCATACCTACAGGTGCTTAATGCCTGCTGGGAGAGAACAATGCTAAACAAACGAATCACTAAGTTGATTTTGGTGGCAGTTTTCTGAAGAAAATAAAGCAGATCAGGTGACAGATTGGTGGGGTGGAGGCAACTCCATAGAGTGGTTGTGGAGGGAGGGGATTTGTGGTGGAGGTATGCTCAGGTGAGACAGGAAGGATGAGAAAGGGCCTGTCAGGAGCAGCATCAGAGGCACAGAGAACAGCATGTGCAAAGCCCCCAAGATGGGACCCAGTGTGGTGGGTTTGAGGAGTGGCATGGAGGCAGACATGAAGTTACAGAGCCTCATAGGCCACTTCTGGGCTTGGAGCAGGAAGGAGGAGTCTGACTTGTACTTTTATTAACAGGAGACCAGCAGGGAGGTGGCTGGACTAGCTGGGTGGATAATGGTGGTGATTTGGGCTGGGGTGATGGCTGTGGAGGGGTTAGCAAGGGCTGCAATCTGGGTGTAGTTTGCAGGTTTGGTGGGGGGATGGAGCAGCCACCAGAGAGGAAGGTGGCAAGAGGGCAGATATGGGGAGCCATCAGGATCTCAGCATGGACAGCCAAGTCTGAGGAACCATGGATCTGGAGTTTAGGGCCGGGGTTGGGACTGGATGGACAGAGAGGGCTTGGTTTCAAAGCCCTCTGCAGAGCTGGTTTCAAATCATGGTCCAAGGGGCTACAGGAGAAGGTGTCCTCGGGTGTGAGGTGCCCAGGGTGGAGCCCCTGACTCCATGCTCACCGCCCTGTGCCCCCCCGAACAACAGCCAGGTGAGCTACGCGCCCCAATTGGGAAAGCTGCAGATGTTTACCCTGAGGAATGTGCCCAGCCTGCTGGGTGCCCTGCTGTTCCCCAGGGCACAGGGTTCCCTGCTGGCTGTCCTGAGGCTCTTTGCCTGGTACATGCAGTAGCAGCTTCAAGAGGTGAGGGTGGAGGTGGGGGAGCCAGGGGGCCAGGCGGTGGGGACCCCCAGCCCTGAGGCCTCCCAGCTGGGTCTGTCCACAGGAGGGGGGGCCTGTACATGCCCACCTGGCCGGGCGCCCCTGGCCTCCGCCTGCTGTGCTTCCTGGTGTCTGAGCAGGTGGTGCTGCTGCTCTTCAGAGACGGGATGGTGCAGGGGAGCAAGGGGCCCCCTCAAATGGGCCTGGGGTGTTGCATGCTTTTGGGAGAAAGCCCTAGGAAGCAGTTGGTTCCTGGTGGAGCCAGGAACTGAGACTTATGACTCCCAAGCATAAAACTGGAAATAAAATGTGTTTGAATGATGGCAGAATGTCACTGGGGATCATGGTCCCATGTGGTCACCGGTAGCAGCTGGCAAAATGTCATCTCACTGCAGAATCAGTTGTAGGTTTTCCTGAGCAATTCTGGCAATCTCTAAGAAATTGCAGCCGCTCCTAAAACAGACTTCCAACACAGTAGTATACAATCCTTACTATCATCTTAGAAAAATTAGTATGATTTTATTTTACAGTAAAAACCCCACCTCTGTTTAGACCAGAGTGCCCTGACCTGGGTTGGGTCTCAGAGGGCAGAAGTGGCTTCCAATGGCCATGCCCAGCCGCAGGGAGAGCTGGCACCAGTGAGGAGCTGCTGTTCCCCAGGGCACAGGCTTGAGTAGGAGGTCTCACTGGGTGGTCATAGGCAGGGGCTCCCATCTGAGCCTTGGTTTCCCTGTCTGTGCGGTACAGCCCTGGCTTCTGGCCTGGAGTCCCCACGGGTGGGGAAGCCACTGAAACTCAGGTCAGGGCACCCTCAGTCTCCTGTCCACTTGCCCCCTGAGGGCCGGGGCCTCTTCTCCCTTCCACCCCAGCTTCTCCCCACATTGGCAGGTCAGCGGCAGCGGAGATCAGGAACAACTCGTGCTAAGCGGGGGTGGTGAGGAGCTGCTGCTCACAGTCTGGGAACTGGGCCAGCCTGGCACCTCCTACCCACTGGGCATCCTGCAGGGCCATGGCTGTGCCCCAGGCACCCACCAGCACCTTCAGCATGCCATGCTACAGAGCATCTAGCGATCCCAAGGGTCAGAGTGGACCTCTGCATGTTAATACCCAGGACCCAGGGTCCATTTCTGCTCCCGTTGCCCCCCCTTTCCTCCCCAAGGGATGTCCTTGGGAACAGCATAGGGAGTGTGCAGGGGGTTGGGGGGGGGTCCTCGTCTAGCCTCTTGGCATGACTGTTCAACCCAGACTTGTGTCTGGATTTGTTCTTTTTTCATTAAAGGAGACTTGACTCTGCAGCCTGCCCCATCTGCCTCTCTTTGGGGCATTTAAGGAGCTTTGGCCAGGGGGTACCCAAACCCGGTATGATCTGAGCCCACTGCTCTCTGTGACACAGATAGGTGGGCCAGATTTTCACCAACACAGAAATCCTTACCAGAGTGGGGTTCTGCCATGACCAAAACTCTCAAGTATGGAACACTGCTTAACAGATGGGCAGGGAGGACACGGATGGGGAGGCTGGGAAAATGGTGACCTCTGTCATGACAGGGCAAGACATTTGGCACCTTTGCCCTGGGGTGGGGCATGTGCACTCCTAGAGCTGGAGGCTCTGGTTGATGGACAGCTGGTCGTTATGTGCAAGAGGAGAGTGTCAGAAAGATGAGTTCAGGAAAGTGCTGGCTGGCGAGCCAACAGAAATGGGAGAACTCAGAGGCTTGAGCCTGGCTGGTCTGGAAAAGACAATTGCTTCCTGAATCCAGATTGTAGGAGGCGGTGTTCTTCAATCCATCAGGCTCCCTGTGCTGGGTCAGGATCATGTCAAGTGAAGCAAACCCCAAGGCTTTTTGTTTTGAAGATTTTTTTTTTTTAATGTATACCATTTTTAAGGTCTCTGTTGCATGTGTTACAATATTGCTTCTGTTTTATGTTTTGGGTTTCTTGGATGAGGCATGTGGGATCTTAGCTCCCCAACCAGGGAGGTTCCAATCCCAAGGTTTTGAACAAAGGTTCTGAGCCCTTTGATGACATCCTTGCCACCTGGCGTGGCTGCCTGTGGAGGCGGGAGGTTCAAGCCCATCGGCTGTATTCAATGGGAAGATGTCTCAGGGGTTGGAGACATGGCCCAGGCAGAGCTGCAACCCTCACTCAGGTGACCCTTCACAGCCCTGGGAAGGAGCCCAGGGCCCACAGGCACCCACCTGCAGGCAGGGCACAGGGGCACCTGAAGAGGGACGAGACCTGCATCAGGTCACCGAGCAGGTCAGAGTTGGGAACCTGAGCCCACCCCCCAGCAGGCTTTTCCCTTTGAACTGCCTGCTTGGAAAGAATCAGTGCAGGAGATCCAGGCTCAGTCCCTGGGTGGGAAGACTCCTTGGAGAAGGGAATGGCAACCCACTCCAGTCTTCTTGCCTGGAGAATTCTATAGACAGAGGAGCCTGCTGCTGCTAAGTCGCTTCAGTCGAGTCTGACTCTGTGTGACCCCATAGACAGCAGCCCACCAGGTATCCCCGTCCCTGGGATTCTCCAGGCAAGAACACTGGAGTGGGTTGCCATTTCCTTCTCCAATGCAGGAACGTGAAAAGTAAAAGTGAAGTCGCTCAGTCATGTCCGACTCTTAGCGACCTCATGGACTGCAGCCTACCAGGCTCCTCCGACCATGGGATTTTTCAGGCAAGAGTACTGGAGTGGGGTGCCATTGCCTTCTCCACAGAGGAGCCTGGCGGGCTACAATCCACCGGGTTGCAAAAAGTCAGACACGACTGAGCAACTCACAAACACACCTGCTATCAGTTTCCAAATTGCAATCTGACAGATGAAGCTAAATCCCCAGGGCTGATGCCTCTCTGGTCCTCTTCCTTCCTGGGGAGGAGGCCCCAGCAAGTTTCTCTGGATCTTTCTATCCATTTTCAGGCACTCATGCTCCGGTGGCTCAACTGGTAAAGACTCTGCCCACAATGAGGAAGATCTGCATTCAATCCCTGGGTTGGGAAGATCCCCTGGAGAAGGGAATGGCTACCCACTCCAGTATTCTGGCCTGGAGAATTCCATGGACTTTACAGTCCATGGGGTCTCAAAGAGTCAGACACGAGTGAGTGAGTTTCAGTATGTTCCTATGGAAAAAATTAAACCATCAGTGTTGCTCTTTCTCTCAACCCTGTGACTGGGTGCATTCCTGCCTCTGGGTGGAAAGACCCACCTGGTGATTTTGTGGAAGAATAGGTAAAGGGAGGGAATGAAGGGGCTGGGGGCCCATCAGGGGAGGTCACAGGCCTGAGTGTGGTCAGACCCCGGAAGAGAAATCGTTTTGCATAAAAGAGGGAGAGTATAGAATCTCCCTGGATTCCCTGGAGAATCCAGAGGAATGGGGTGTGAGCAGAGAAGTACACAAACCATGTGTGAATTGTGTTTTTTTTTATCTTTTTTACTTTGCTACTATTATTACTACTGAAGTAACATAACATGAAATTCACCATTTTAATGTGTACAGCTCCATGGCACTGAGTGCATTCAGTGTTGCACAGTCACCACCCCTGTCTAGTTCCAGAACAGTCCATCACTCCAGAAGAACACCTGTCCTCATCAGCAGTCACTCCTCACCCCCTCCACTTCCCCAGCCCCTGACAACCAAGAACCCACTCTTTGTGCCTGTGGATCTGCCTGGAGATCCACATTTCCCATTTTCTGTTCTGGGCATTTCCCATCAACAGAATTACATGCTGTGTGGCCTTTCGTGTTTGACTTCTCTCACCATCATATTTCTTCTTTTTTAATTAAAAAAATATTTATTTATTTGGCCTTGCTGCATAGCATGTGGGATCTTAGGTCCCAGACCAGGGATGGGACCCATTCCCTCTACAGTGCAAGCCCAAAGTCTTAACCACTGGACCTCCAGGGAAGTCCCGAGCATGGTATTTTCAAAGTCCATCCATGCTGCAGTGTGTCAGAATGTCACT